GATCAGATGACACGCAGTGTCATAGAGTTTGATTCAATAAGTATGAACAATCACCATTGCTGATCAACTGATTACCGTTTGACACAAGATAGTTGTCTTTTCAATTGATTACAAATGTGTACTGTTGAACACTTTGATATATTCGTGTTTCAAGTCAACTATAGCTGTCATATGTCTGTTGTATATTTTATCTGGTAGCTTTAGATTGATTGACAGTTTTTGTAAGTTTTCTATGTTCTATTGATAACTGCCCAGTAATGAATAACTCTTTTAGAAGGTACTGCACTTAAAGTATGTAGTCGAGAGAAACGACATGAAAAAGCAACAACTAATATGAAAAGAATAATATTAAGGGACACGAACGACAAGACCAGTTGAATGACCCAATGAAACTGTCTAAAAGATGATAGCTTCAGGTTTTGTAAGAAGAAAAATAAATAAGAAATATATCCGAACATCTTCACATATCGACAAGATTCAACCTTCTTATGAGAAACTTGGCAAATCCAAAGGGATTTGACTTTTTCCGCTAATGAAACGCAATAACAATTGACGAAATTGGCCTTCCGATCTTTCCGACGAATATAAACGGAAGTTGTCCTTGAACGGAATTGGAAAAATACCGGGTTGAGTTCAATGGAAAATACTATGAAGGAATCTAATTTCTGAATGCGGGATATGAAAGATATAAATTTTAGTTTTCATTATATTTGAGAAGCAATACAGAATTGTTTCCTCGTGTTCTCTTCTTCGTTTTACAGTTGAAATTGAGAATGGGGTTACACATTGAAAGAAATGGTTTACAGATTTTATTTACAAATATATTACGAGGTATAACGTTGGTACATGGAAATCTGATATTTTTGAAATGATGTGGATTATCAGAAAAAACATTCAGAATTCTATTTACACTAGAGATTTGGTAAATAGAGAAAAGTTTTGAATAGTCTTTTGTACAGATTTTGAGCTTATATCTTGTAGAGAACTGGCTCTCAAAGGCCTTCAACATCTCAGAACTGAGACCTAAGCGAAAGCAGTTCAGGCCTTGGGATCAGGATAGGAAATGAGATCATTGCGCTTATCAGACTGCTAATACCGAATTCCTTGGAACATGTCTAGATATACAGATACTATTCAGAAAAAACAGCTCCTCAATATTCATTGAGGAGCTGGTCCCTTAGTATGGCCCGCTAGATTACCTGGACTCACAATTTTGGTGAGGACTCGTAAAATCTAAAATACACGTTACACAAACGCAATATATTCCAGAGCTCATGGATAGAATGAGGCTTGGCCTCAACGCAATCACACCAGAAACATTACATATTGCAAGAAATGTTAGGAAGTGACTGGTCAAAACTTGAAACATCCATTGGAATGATCTGGTGTGGGTTATGAAAACACTTTTCCTTGAAATCATATTGTCACGCTGCGCATTGGTCATTACCTACGCCAGCGGTTGTCCAACTTTTTTGCGACGGAACCCTTTTGGAAAGTATAAAATATCGGCCAGTTCCCTTCAATCATTCCCAAAAATACTCAAGTAGGCGCCTTTCAAAAATAAAAAGCCAAAATAAAAATAGAAATGCAGTGTAAACACTCTCGAATTTATATTTTGAAGTTAGAGCCGAAAGTCGCCTGCTCAAAACTAAAGCGTCTAATCTCAGAGGCGGCTTTTATCAAAGGGACTGCGCGCTCACAAATATATATCGGAGGTGGCGGCATAATACGTCCACCCAAATAGCTTGCTTGCATTGGATTCTTTGGAGTAGCCGAACGCCATCTTTCGGAAAGGCAGCGATAGCTTTGTCTCATGCGGCGGCCCGTTCGTTTCGGCTTAACAAAGTATGCCAATCATTTGAATGGCGGCGTAAAAACAGTCGGCCAGAGAGAGGTGTTTTGAATTCGTTTCTAATTTCTTGCGCAACCCCTGCAGGGTTATCGCGGAACCCTAGAGTATGGCTGGCCTACGCCCATGATAATCTAGTAAAGTAATACGCCACTGACTGGCCGACAACGCAAAGTGCATGACGTTAGCAGGCACAGTGCCTCACGGTAATTTCCAAAAATTCTGAATGGAAAGGCTAGAAACTTGTTGAGAACGATTGACAAACTTCGAGTGTAGTATATAAACCAGACGATATCGCGGTACTAGAAAATTGGAATCAGCTTCACAGAGGGCAAGAAATTTGATAGCAAAAATGATATTGAAATATTGAGATCATTCAGTGTAAATTGTGCGACTGAATGAAGTTATCGAATTTGAATAAGGGTGCCACTTAATTATTTGCTCATAATAAAGGAAACTTGGTGAAATCGCAAGGACATAACAATATTTATCGTTTGTTTGCAGATTCCTGAAACGATTATGAAACTGCTTATTATTTGAACGAGACATCACAAAACCTCCCTTTCGAATAGGAAAAAACTTGTTGACGCTCTTTTGGAGACGAGTTATGCTTTCTTATCAAAAATTAGTGAAAATGATACCTTTTTAAGTTAATTTTATCTACTTTGATATTTTGTCCGTACTGTAGATTACCAATTTGTCGACGATAAATGTGTATTAAACATTGCTGCAAGAACTTCGTTGAAGTTGCTTTGAAGTGTAAGCGGTTTTTTCCCACTACTGAAAATGTAACTATAAAAATTTCCAATACTTTCTAGAAACCAGAAGGAAGATTGATCTTCATCTCGAAGATGATCACTTGGTGTTCGAAACTCGTGTCGAGGTGTTAAAAATAACGGTTTGGCGTTGGGATTAAATTCCAGTAATATTAATTACTACACTAAAGGTTTCAAACATTGTATCACATGTACCAATGAAGTAGTTTAGAGTATTTCAATTTGATACAAACCAACAGTTATAGTGAAAAAATCACTGTTTCGTTCTTCGCAGATGTTTGCCCCACTGAAAGTCCCAGCATTTATCATCTTAGTAAAATGTAATTCACTCCGGAAAGTTCTCCCAATAATTCATCTCGTACAACTTCTGATCTCTGCACTATGTGTTGCTCTGACTCCTCCATTAATCCTGTGAGATATTGGGATGCGTAGTAGTGAAGAGATTAATGCATTACGTTCCGCAATTTTTCAAACTAAAGTGCAAAATCCTATCAGATTTAATGCTCTTACTGCCTTTGACGATCCAATCCAATTTCCCGGGGCGTTTGTATAAATATACTCTAATCAATCTACACACTACCAGCAAGTTCATCCTCCATAATTGCAAGATATTTTCGAAGATCAAGACGTTGCCTCATGCTTACCCCTGTTAACACTTCAAAGTGAGATTGTGGAAAACTCAGCAATATTCGATCTGAAATCAGCTGAAGCTGAAAGAGAGTTGAGAGTGAAGTTTTCTTTGTAATAATTAGTGACTGGATTAACTATAAATCGGTTCAATTCGTGAGGTTACAGTCAACAGCTGGGCTGTTACAAAGAAAACTCTTTGTTTTTGCCCACGAATAGATAAAAAAATATAAAGGAGTTTACGTACAGCGACATCTGCCCGCGAATAGATCAAGAAATATCAAGGTTACTTACAGTGATCTACTCGCGAATAGATCAAGCAATAATGCCGATAATTCTGTCAATACAGATATCGAGCTTGAGAGTTACAAGCAAAGAAACATACATACATACAGGTGAAGCTAATATAAAGCGTGTAAAAAAGGTCTAAAGTAGATATGTTTTTTCTTGAAATCTACTAAACACCCATTGACAATATTATTGAACAAGAATGTTCCTATCATTTTGATATAACGACTCGGGAGTCTACTCCTGATAATCTGACTTATCACAACTCGCCCATCCTGCAGCAGGAAGCATTTGAATACCTCGTTGCCATGAAGTAACCAAACATCTGACTCTGAGTCCTCAGAGGATAAAGACGTCATCTAAACGTCATCTAAACAACTCTTCTTCCTGCAACATCGAAACACTTCGAAATAACAAGAATGAACAATGCGGTGCGATGCTACGTAGATATTTCAAATATGTTCATTTCATTAAATATTTGATTGTTATTCTCTGCATGAATAATGATGACTAAGGTAATACATCAACAACATACATAGTTTTTTAGCATTCGTAATCTGACATTAGGCAGTGTTGTCTCGAAAGCCACCAGAAGTCTCATTAGTGATGCTAGGCGGCACCACAAATTCATTGCTAGAGTCAACTCTTCTTAAAGAAAAAACTTAAGTAAGCAGAGGCGATGACGCCTCTTGATCATTGATCGCCGAACGAGATTCGTCATGTCTATCACTACAGCTCCCATTGAAAGGCAACTGGAAGAAACCAGAACCCAAAGATGATTGTGATCCCACACAAGTCAGCGTTCTTTCGCCCCCTGTACAGAAAGTAGAGCTAGGTTGAAGTATAATTTTTGGATTAAACTGGACCGAGCACAAAGCTCAGTATTGAAGACGATGGCCTCTCTCTTCTAAGGAGACTGAGGACTCCATTCACGAATCCCAAAGATCAACAAGGTTTTGCAAGGCGGTCCGACATCGACCTCTGCCTTGCTTCACAAAGAAATTGGATGGCGTGAGGGGAGAATAATCTTCTTTACTTACTGAGGCTTGTTTTTCAACAGTTGGTTTCGTGGCTTAGCACCATTGATGAGGCTCATGAGAGGTCTAAAGAGCGTCGTGTTGGATAACCAACGTTTATGGGCTCTTAAATCTCATTCGGTTGTCGATGTCGAAGCTTGGCTTTGCAACTGACCGCCTTCGGGAGCCAAGGAGAGGATTGAATCTTTCTTCTGTCGATTCCATAGATGACTTCTTTGTATGCTGGGGATGGCGTCGTCTTCATTTATTTCGCTTGGTGTCAATGACAGTCACACATATATCATTATGATCCAGATGATCTTTGGCAGCAGAAACCATATTGGTAGTGATTAAATGTCACAAACGTCCTCGATGTTCAACAAATTTAATGTATTGAATCTATAGTCCAATTTTTACTGTAACCAATGTTTTCTTGCATTTCAGAAAACAACATTTGCACACCAAGGATTTGTGGACGAAAGCGGTAGAAAAGGTATCGAAGGAAAGGAAGAGAAAACCTCACTTTTCCGCTATAGCTTTTTCTGTGATCGACGCACACAAACAAATGAAAAAAGACGTTTCGTTCACACCACCAGCTTCACCGAGGCGAATGAACATGCTGAAACATGTAAGTTTTCATTATTATAATTAATAGATATGGTACAGAAAGATACGTGAGACATAGCTGATCATTTTTTTTTAATTACTTACCACTAGGACTTGTACAGGATAGCTATCGAAAATGCATCACAAGACATAACACCCACGGAAAGAATTGTTTATCAGCGAAACGAGTTTTAACCTAAAAATCGTAGTGAAATCATACTCCATCCAGAAGATACAGAGCTTTGAAATGCCAACAACATATTTTCCAAAAACTACAGAATTCGAATAAATGGTACTCAAAAATTCACCGTACTGATTAGTCCTCAAAGGACTTCTAGTGAGTTAGATGGAGTGCAATGAACTTTTTTAGGTGTTCAGACAAAAATCTAAAGGACACAAATCGGGTGACCGAAGTGGCCACTCTGTAGCGCCTCTTCTTCCTATCGGGCGATTTCAGAACCTGTCGCAGTGTCCAATCTTTTCAATAAACGTTTTGTTCAATATAATTTATCCCAAAACGGATGAAGTGTTTTCAAAAATATGGAAAGAAATAGTTTTATTTATCACTAAAATTTTCACACATACACAATTACAAGATTAAATACATGAGAAAACTTATTGGACCAGTAAAAAAAGTAAAACGCTAAAGGCTAAACACAAATGTTTGATATTGAATAAATTAAAAAAAAACTACATGTATAAAAGAAACTATGTCATTTATCTAAGCACTGAAAGCAAGAAATTCATCCATACTGTAGAAGCAGTCATCCAACAAAAAACCATATAGTTCATTCCTCATTACAGTTCTACTTTTATTGATCCTTACAAAATATGTTATTTTATTGAAGCATTCAATACCCAAGTATTTTGGGGAATTCTGACTCCTCACACTCAAGCGAGAGTAAGGGTGGTATAAAGTATCTTCACCCCGAGTAGCGTAATTATGTATATCATAGTTTTTTGAATATTGGTATTTATTATCATAGATGAATAACACTAGCTGTAATATGTAGAGGCACGGCAATGGTAAGATGCAAAATTTTTTAAATAGTGGCTTACAGTATATGCAGAGTTACCCCTGAAGATCAATCTATACCTTAATTGTACCAGTCAATGATACATGAGTTTTATAACTTCTATAGAGACAGTGTCTCGCAGATTCCGAATTGCGTAGTTGTTAATTCAAATTTGAATAATGAAACCAGCAGGTAGGTACTCGACAGAGATCAAAGTGAATTATTTTTGAAACATTTGTGAATACTGTTAGAGGTTACTTGTCGTTAATGCTCAAAAGGGTTCAACAGAAACAGAATTTTCATATGTTTGTCCAAACAAAAAATCTAGAGAACACAAATCGGGTGGTCGAGGAGACCCCTCCAATGTACACTATCGTCTTATTGAGCGATGTCGGAACCTGTCGCATATTCATTTTTTTACTCAGCGTATAATTTATTGCAATTTGTCCCTAAACTAATGAAGTGTTTCTAAATATATACCGAGTTGATAATTCAAACCTGCAGGCTGGAACTAGCTGGTACGTACACGATAGGAATTAAAGTAAATTACTGTTAGACCATTTACAAATGAAGTCGCAGGTCATTTGCCGTTAATATTTCAGAGGCTTTGCATCTTGCTGTTCCTCTTCAGCTGAATTTGCTGGATGGTGCTGAATTTCCACCACATTCAAAACATTGAAGGTTTCATGATGATTTTCAAGTCAAAAATTTGCTTCCCTTATGAACAAACTTGGCGTGTTTTTGAATTATTGCAAAATTTTATTATACCCGCAGTTCTACCTTGCGGTAGGTTTTGTATGCCCACTCTGTATATTCATTATTGAATCGAATAAAACACTGCCTAGTGTTATAAATTCAGATCAATACATTCTATTTTTTCCATTCCACAGGACAGCACAGATAACAGTCTGAGTAATCACTTATCGATACCGATGAGTGATTCAGCCTCTTCGCAAAATGGAAAATTTGATGAAATGCACCCTTGTAGCCCGACTGCCGACAAGCCGAGATGTTTCTTGGAAGAAGATTCTTATTCGGCTGTTCACAAAGGTGATCACCCCATTTCAGTTAAACTAAATATTTGAGACCTTTATATTTTTCTAGCCGACTTCGCAACACTTTTTAAAAGGGGCATGATGTACAAGGGAATTTACTGGCCAAGTCTTACAAATAGTTTTCATTGTAAACATCTGGAGCTGGCGTATTTGAGGTACTCCCATCGGCAGCGACAAAAATCATTAATCATTGTTAACATCGTGGATCTTCTTCTCAAGGTAAGTTATGCTTTAGTAGAAATGAAGTAAGAAATAATTCTATATTTCCCAGCGATCAAATACAACTAAAATATTGTTACTCAATAATTTTACAATTATGACACTTAGGTTAGGTTAGGTTAGGTTAGGTCCGAAGTGAGTGGGTCTATTCGACCCTCCTCCGCAATCCGCAAGGGTTTATTGTGGCTCACACCTATTCACACTCGACCAAATAAACCCAGTTTCTCAACGAAGCCGATTAGTTTGTATGGTGAGTGGTCTTTCAGGTCAGATGGTGAGAGAACGGCTCTGTCGAACTCTTTAAAACCTGATTCGGTCCCTAGCGGAGCAGGCACAAAGTATATGCTCTGCTGTTTCATCGTTAATGAGGTAGTCGGATAGTCAAGGTGCAAGATTCCCACCTTGATACCCGCAACAACCTTCCCATATCAGGGTTTATGCACGTCAGTTACACCCAACGATGCCTTAGATTCAACAGTGCAGGGTTTTTCGCCTCTGGTTTTGGTGAATCATCACTTGAGCGCAAACGGTTGCTAACATGCCCATGGGGGGTTTGTTCCTCCACCTGAGATAGATTTTGCGTACGCCGCTCAAGAATTTGGTGCAAGGTGGTTTTATAAGATACCCCGCTCTTGAGGAGACGACTCAGTACTCGGTCGTTTCCTGGCTGCACCACCAAACCTTTTTTTAGGGATCAGGAGTTGGGGAGTGAAGAAGCTCTCGCTCCTGAACTAAATTTACAGGATGGTCAGTTGGAGTCGTAAACTCGACATCTATCTCCTCTGTAGACTCGCTCCTGAACTAAATTTACAAGGAGGTCAGTTGGAGTCGTAAGCTCGACATCCATCTCCTCTGTAGACTCAGCGTCAGAAAGAATTTTCAAGTTTACTCTGTCCATAAAAGTCCCACGAGTAGCTAGGGGAAGAAGGTCAATCACAACAGAGCCCCGCATTACCGTGACAAGGCGATGGTACGACGAGAGGGTGCCCGGTATCTCGAAGGTTCCGTAGAGACAGCTGATAGGCTCAGTGTCATTCATCACCTCGGCACGGATACACACACCTAAGGATTAAGCCATTCATGGGATGCCATTCAGTTAGGGAATAGCAGAACCACATGTTATTCTGTCATTACCGTATCCAACGGAGCTACGTGGAAGCAGGCATCCGATGACCGGTTTGCTCAACCACCACATACCAAGCCAATGCACTCGCCAAAAACAGCATGCACAGTGGTTCAGGCAGTGAAAGATGAACAAGGACAGCCAACATGACAGGACGTGGCCTGTCCTTGGCCTGCCTTTGCCTCCTTCACATATTACGGCGGGGCGGGATGCGTTCTGTTCCCCTACTTTCTTTCTTTGTTTCTGCTCGGTTCCTATTCTTATTTTCCCTCCCGTGTTGAATAGCTCGATACCAGTAGTGTTTACGATAACTTTCCTGTCGGATTTCCTGTCCAATGGTAATGCCTGCACCGATATTTCAAAAGTGGGAGGATCTTGGCGAACGTGCTTATACGAGTATAAATTGTCAATTTCCCAACGCAGTTGGAGCCATCCCCAGTTAAAGGACGAGAAGATTTTTCATCCATCCCACCTCAGCCAGGAAGGGGTACCCCGTGAAGGGCGGTACTGATGCCTGAGGACTTCATACTGCCAATATCCCCTCAGTCATGAACTCATTTGTCCTTCTTCGACCATAATCAGCCAAAAGGGTAAGGGAGCTGGGCTCCAACCTGTCTGAAATCAAGATGGATATCGGTAGTTGGAGCCAGAGATGACAAGCATGTTGTGATTGAAAAACCAGCGAGGGATAGCTCCGAGTTTCTCAATTACAAGAAGCACTTCAACGTTGTGCTTAAGCAGAAGTTAATGCAGATTATAAGATTTCCTAAATGGTTGGACAAAAGGGAGTAAGGGTAATGCGGGTATTTTTGCGAGATCCAAACTGGATAATGCTTTGAGAAAGGGAAAGCTGAATTTATCGCCTCCAAAATGACGCCAAAATAATCCCTCATCGGTTGTACTGTACTTGATAGTAGGAGATGAAGCACTTCCGCTTCTTCAAAACCTAATGCGATCATACCTTGGACAACTGGTAAACTACGAAAAAAATCTTTAATTATAGGCATTCCAGATTCAGGAGATCCAGCGAGAATGCTTCATGAACGAAGATTGAAGATGCCCCAAGACCATTTGGACAGCGTCATTTTGGCCGAGCTGTACCTTTATAACAATGATGGACTGTGGCAGTCAGGAGAGAAGGCAGTTCTAGTCCTTCTTTGGGGCTGCGAGACATTCCTCAATAACGCATATCCATTTTTTATCGAAATTACCCATATTTTCATAACAAAAATCTTGACGGCTGGTCGAAAGAAGCGCGAATATCTCTTGGGTCTTCGTAAAGCACTAAAATCCAAGGTTAAGCATGTGCCGTAGGAGGGAAGGAGCATGGGTGGTAGGAAGCCCAGTAACAGGCCTGGCTCGTCCTGTTACCATCCTGGCATGTGACTATCCGTTGCCTGGCTTGCTTAACTCGCCTCTTTGATCGTTCAACCGCTTCCACATTTGATCTTACATATACGGCTAGCATTTCTCCCTTGTTCGGCGATGATTATGCCTTCTTTCGTGGATTGACGATATGCAACTTGACGAGGCTGTTGTCTATCTATTTTTTCGCAGTCTCTTCTCAAACTGTATGAACTGCTGTACTCTAATTTGAAAGCATTCTGCTTATTCTCTACAAGAGTTTTTGCGTTTTAATTCGACCTCTCCAAATAAAACAAATATATACCTATAATTCTGATATTATAAACATTGTTTTGGTTTTACTTTTGCTTTTCTTCTCCATTTTCTTCACCAACTAACTCATTGAATCGAAAAATGTACTATATTAAAGAGCCCTCTCAGTATTTAGACAAGGAAAGTTCAAAACTTCGCCACTCTGCTATAACGGAACATTTTCATTTTCCTTTCTGTTGAACTTCGATTATGAATGTTTAGTTTATTCAGTGAGTTATGGAAGTTATTAATGTAATACTTCGGCATTTGTTTTCAACGAAGATTATTATCAAAAACATCGCAATGTACCTTCTATCTTCATTATTCATTATAACAGGCGATTTACTTATTAGGAGTTGAGACCACAATTTAGCCAAGGGGTTTTTCTCAATATTCGATAAATCGAATTTTAAACACTTCATTTTGAGATCTCCACAATACCAATAGCTATTGTATATATGGCTATACAATATACAATAACAATGTATAGTCAAACACGTGTTGCGTTTTTGCCAAACTGTTCAGTGAAAAATATTACAATGAACTGTTTCTTGAATACGTTTTGAATTTTTATACAGTATCGGTGATTTTTGGCACTACTCTGTTGTCACATTCACTGGATGATATTTTTTTCAACCCTCTGTTTCCAAATCATATCCATACCCTCGTCATATGAGGATATTTATTTCTCATAAAACCTCCCATACTTCTTGTGATATTCCCCATAAGTTTCCACCAAAATATGCAGAGGAATATGAACAGGTTCTGGAATTATCATCTTCCCCCAAAGATATGCCATATATCTATGGCAGAGCTATCGAACAGTTGAGCTTCGAACTCCTTATCCCGCCGATCCAATGATGGAAAGAATCATGGTATCTTTGATTACTCAGAAGACAGTAGTGGCAAACATAGCATCAACAGTAACAACAGCATTCGATCAATGATACATTCTCCAGTTGAAGCCCTTGGTCTCAATTAATTGAAAAAAATTGGCAATATTTGTTTCATTAACAGTTTAATCCAATGTTCATCAAACAAGAGGCGGTTGCTGGGATATTAAAAAAAGGACACATGAAAAATGTTAATACTAGTATTTCTAGTATGGAGGGTGCTTTAATTTCGGAGGATTCGCAGAAGTTATCAAGGAATTGTGATCAGAAATTTCATCTGAGTAGTAAACACAGTCTACTTAAAAAGTCAGATTCAAAAATGTTTTCTTCGATTCATGTGATATGCCCAAAAAGACGACCAGGAGTTCCTTTGATAACTTTCACAAGGTTCACTTGAGGACGTTAATAGAAAAACCGAAACCGATCTTAATGGAGATTGAAGAAAAATTGATCGAAAGCAGAAAACCATTTAAGTCCTGGTTGAGATATTTGAGGATGTTCACACTTTGGAAACACTGTGGATACTCATCAGTAACCCTTTTACGATTTGTCTCTCCCTATACCACAAAGAACTGGCTAATTGATACTGCAATGCTTGGATTTCTACACGAGGGGGGTAACTCTGGATAGAGATGAAAAACCGACGTGTTCGAGGTGCTTTGCTGACGCCAGTTCCCTTGTCTCGACATTTATTAGGATTTCAGCACATCGGCTGTGGTTATACATCTCCACAGGCAGCAGAAGGTTGCATATCTTAATGAGGATCTCGAGGTGATTTCGAATTGGGGTGAAAGTAACCAGGTTCAATTTAATGCCACAAAACCCAGGCATCGGTGTTCTCCAAAAAGATAAATGTTTCCGAACCGGATATAATAGTGTCAGGATAGACAATTCCGCTTTCTGCTTCGATAAGTTTGTTGGGGGTTAAAATGGACACCAATATGTTTTGGCACAATCATGTCACTGGAATTGCAAAAGCTGCTTCTCGAAAGTTCGGAACATTGTTCGGAACCAGAAAACTGTACACACCTCAGCGACTATTGATGCTTTATAAAGTTCAGATCAGACGTTCTTTGGAGTATTGCTCTCATGTATGGAGCTCCGCCCCCAAGCATACTCTGGAGCTGCTGGTTTCCATACAGATACTTTCACGGGAGGTGTTCAAGTGACTTGACATATTCGATTCCACCAAGAGCGGTACATATCAGAAATACGCGACAGACTGTGGCATCGTCCTGATGTGATGTTCAACTCAGTACACCTTGAACTTCACTACTTAAGAATTTTTCCATTTAGAGAACTGCGAGAAAGGCAAATTAAATGTCACCATCGACTTTCCTTTAGAATGATTAGATATGATCAATTAGACAGCAGACAGTGTGGCTCCTTGTACTTACACGTGGCACAAATACGACTCACACGTGTCCTAAATTTCACCAAAATCGCGCGTGAGTGGAGAGGCATGTGTCCTCGTTCATGAACAGAAAGGAACGAAGTCGCACCTTTGAGGTAGATTTCTTTCAAATAAAATAAATTCAGTGAATTGATTTCATAGCTCTAATAAAGTATATTCATTGGTTATTTGAATTATTTTTTCGAAAATGGGAAAGAAGTTCAAATCGAATGCAACGATGATTTTTCCATTTTCGACAATATTCTAACAGTTTTGAAAACCGCAACACGTGTTCCACATTTTTACTTAAGAAAGCTATTTTATAGCGAAACACTTGTCGCGGATATTGTGCAACTCCTATAGTGAAAATGCTAAAGTATTTTGTGTTTCAGATAACTCTAATATTCGTATGGATTCTATGCAATCGAAAGATCAACATAGACCTGAGAGCGAATGCTGATACGATAGTTTGGTCTGTGTGCTGCATGTCCATCAACATTGCCGTTTGTGTTCTTGGCTGGTGGCGATGTTTTGCAAACAATTATCTCCACTGGGCCGCTGTATGCACGTGGCTCCTGCTCACTATGCAAAGTAAGAACGAATCTCGATATCTGTCAGGATAAATTCATGTCTGTTCTGCCGAATCCGACACTCTGAACATTAGTCTTACTCTTTTTGCTCGAAAAAGTAGAAGAAATCAGTTGTTTATTATGAAAATAAAGTCCTGGAACACTCGTAAGTAGATCAGGATAAAATTCGACTGCGGGCCAAATGGAAGCTTTGCTGCGTAGAAATCAATCAACTTAACTACGAGGCGAGACGATATACAGTATTGCATGGAGGTTGTAAAGTTCAACTTCCCACTAAAATATCTATTACTTTTGGAATCCGATAGACCTTATTCCACTTAAAAAACGAGGATACATTTTATGGTATAATGGTGAGTTAGCTTGCTGTATATCAATATTTATTCAACTTTAATTCAAGCTAGTAGTAACAGTTACTCAATCATCCAGGGGTCGAGAAGAAGGGTGATCAACAACACAAGCTGCAGATGGATGTTCCGCATGCTTAGAGGAAGATTGGTATACCAAATCATCATGAAAGAGATAAAAGTGGCAAGGGTAGCACGGACTTGTCATCAGGGGAAGGTTTCGCCCCTACTGTTAAGGAAAATTGATGAGTTACTATGTCGTGGATACTAATGGACACAAAGACGACCCAGTCATTTTCATTCAGGGCAAATGAAATAGGATAGTTAAGGGATGCATGTGGCAGGTTTTGAATGCAACAACCAATACTGTGAGTCACCAGAAACTCCTGAAAACCATTAAAAGTGCAGGGTTGAGAGGCAATATTTATAAACTGATGAAATTTTATCTAGAAAGAAGAAAGCAATGCGTAAAAATTGACGGCAGACTCAGTTACTTTGAAACTGTGGAATTTGGAGTCCCACAGGGTACAGTACTGGGCCCCATTTTATTCAACATATACCTGAATGATTTATACAATGTTGATACAGAAGGCCACATAATCAGTATTGCGGATGACACCGCAATCTTCTATTCTGGTAAAAATTGACAACAGTTGTTTGGCAGAGACGAGAAAGATTTTCTCAAAATAAAACAATGGTTCGAGTCCAAATTACTCACGATTAATTTCGATAAGACAAAATGTCTTCCGTTTTCAATCACCAAAACCAATTTACCGGATAATTCACATCTATCAATCACCGACAATAATAACACCTTCACTATACCTATAATCAAAATCATAAAATACTTGGAAGTCTACTTAGATAGTCACATGAAATGGGGCATTCACATGAAAAAGCTCACTTTCAAATTGAGAAGCCTCATAGCAAAGTTTAAACATTTGTTTGAAGGTGATTGACAATGTTTCATGATGAATTTCACTAGTTCGGGCTTCCATTGTCTAATATATAAAATGATTTGAAATCCCTGAAACAACTAAAAAAAGGAAGAATTAAAAATGAATTGCTGAAAATAACAATTATATCAAGCAAAAAACCTGAAATGAAATAATAGTGAAATAAATTACAAGTAAAAATAGAACAATTGAACAAAAAATGAAATTAAAGAAATAAAAATGAAAATAAAAACGAATTGACATTCTTAGACGTTTTGGTGAAGAGGACCGACATTAAGTGGGAAACATCTGTATACCGAAAACCCACTCATACGGGACAGTATCTGAACCACGAATTCAACCACCATCAATCGACTAAAAGAGGAATCATCAAGACTCTATTAGACCGTGCTTTCGGGCTCTGTAATACGAAGGAAGGTCTCGAGAAGGAACTGAACATCATCAAAAATGATCTTCAACGGAATGGCTACTCCAAAGCGATGGTAGAAAAGACTTTGGCTAAAAGACAGCAGGAGCCTCGCAAGGAAGAGAAGCCGTAACAACCAGTGCTTGCACTTCCCTACATCAGAGGATTATCGGAGAGGATAAGAAAAATTGGTTTCAAGTCAGATCTGGTAACACTATCCGTAGCAGCCTCACGAAAACCAGGCCACCAAACGCGGACTGCGATCCCAAGAATTGCATTTACCGGATATCCTGTGGGTGCGGAAAATCCTATATTGGTGAAACTAAGAGGCCATTGAATGTTCGCATTGCCGAACACAAGAAACACACACAATGAGGGGAAACCAGCGAATCAGGAATAGCAGATCATGTTTGGACCCATCAACACAATATCGAGTGGTCCCAAGCTGAGATCATAAACAAAGAGAAACATTGGTTTAGGAAAAAATTCGAGGAAGCCGCATATATGTTGTCCAACAACGTATTCAGCCAAGCTAGCGTAGAGATACGCAACATATGGAAACCCATCATCAAGCGAAAAATGGCTAACTCCCGCCAAACGGTCATCCCCCACTACTGCACCAGTGAAGCGGAAAAAATAGAAAGCGGGAATAAGTGAAAGTACTCGAACGACCCATAAATAGTCATCTCTCAGAGGAATCAGTCCAGTCATCACCCGAAGACGATTGTAGATACTAACAATCAAAACGTCGTGAACTAACTTGGCTTGGAATCTCTTAACTTTTTATTTTTTTTTTCATTTTTATTTCTTCAATTTTATTTTTTGTTCGATTGTTCTATTTTTACTTGTACTTTATTTCACCATTATTTCATTTCAGGTTTCTTGCTATAATTGTTATTTTCAGCTATTCATTTTTAATTCTTCCTTTTTTAGTTGTTTCAGGGATTTCAAATCATTTAATATATTAGACCAAACTAGTGAAAGTTTAAACATATTAAGAAATTTTTTGAAATAAGATACTTGAGAATATTATACTTCGCACTGGTGGAATCACAATTGAGGTACGGAATAATAGCTTGGGGAGATGCCTACAATAATCAAATGAACGGACTCGACGTACTCCAGAAATGGATACTAAAGATAATATACTGGAAAGATCGATTATATTCCAGTGATGGAATTTATCAACTAGCAAAAGTTTTAGATACTAAGCAATTATTTTTGAACGTCTTGATAGTGAAGCAGAAAAAAGAAGGATCTAAAAATTACTATGTGCACATATATAATACTCGGAAAGGACCGCCTCGCAGTGCCCGTCGTCTCTGAAACAATATCTCAACGATCATCATATTTCCTCAAACCCAGAGTATACAATGCAGTTCCCAGTGAACTGAAAACAATCATCTCGCTAATCTTATTCAAGAAACAACTGAAAAATTGGATTTCAAACCTTCCTAGATCATTCACCCATCAACTGATCGATATAAATAATTTCTGAAATAATACAAAAGGACTAAGTTTTCTTCAATGAAAAAGTATCGATACTATAAATCTCAAATAGCTTCATCCATATGTGTGTATGTGTGTATATTTATGTACGTTGATTGATCTTTCGTCAACATCCTCTATTATTTACTATCATTATTTTCTTCCATTGTTCCACGACAAGCATATGTTTTTGTGGATTATCACTTGTACAAAAATATCATCAAAACCATTTAACTACCTGCTTGAATTATTATGTATTATATAATCAACTCTGTCATTTGTTGAATAAATATATTATTATTAATACAGGTAAAAAAATGAAGAAGGGTTAAAAAGCTCCACAAAACTGACCATAGTGATATTCACCAAGAGAATAAAGACAGAGGGCCTAGGACCTCTAAAACCTCGAGGCAATGAGATAAATCTGTCGTGGAAGGTCAAATATTTGGGAGTGATCCTAGATTCTAACCTGACATGGAACCAACATCTGAAGAGAGTTAAAAAACGGTGAAGGTAGCACTACTGTTGACATGACACCATGGCGGGTAAACCCTTGTTAATATATTGTTGTAATTAATCCCCTAAAAAAATGACGCAGGCCGCCATTGGTCGTCATAAATTAATTGTGACGCGCTCAAGATTGCGTCCAACTCGTCATGCGCATCGCGGTTGTTCTAGTTAGATGCAGAGTTGCTTCGATAGACTTCTAGCAAAATCCGTATTGGCTTCGAGAGGATTCGATCACCATATATAAACGCTACCCACACCCCGAGCGAGAAGTCAAGTGAAGTCTAGTGACAGTGCGGTGCGGAGTGAATTCAAATAAGGCGGTAGATATTTACATATCAGTTTGAAGTTTTAGTTGAAGTGTTTGGTTTGAAATAAAGTTGAGTTTGATTATTGTACAGTGTAGTGAATTATTGTCAAACCCATGGGGGAAACGTCAATATGCATCGATGGCCTAATATGAAGTAAACGAGCCACTGTTAAGAAGTTGAACGATATTCAAAGACTCGCATATTTGCAGATGAAACGCCTTCTTTGGAGCCGGCTCTCCCTTTTGAGTCCACTGTTTTGATTGTTCTTTTGTCTCAGGTGTAAAGTGATAGACCGATGTTTCATCCATGGTTATGAAACGATACAAGAGTTCTGGTTTGTTGCTGTGAAACTTTGCTAAACACTCAATTGAAACATCTTCACAACACTGTTGCTGCTCGAGTGTGAGCAAACGCGGCATCCATCTTGCAAACAGCTTCCCAATGTCCAAATTTTCGGATAATATACGATGTACCGCACTTTTTGAAATGCTGCTAGCACGCGCACCCTCAGTCGAAGATCATTCTGTATCGCTTTGTGGAATTTTTTCACGATTTCTGGAGTCACCTCATTTGGTCGACCACTGCGATGCTCGTCTTGGCAGCTCGTACAGCCTCATTTAAACTCTGCTACCCAATATTTTACTGTTGTAAACGAAGGAGTAGACTCACCTAGAGTAGAATCAAGTTCAACCTTTATATTGTTTGGGCTGAGGCCTTTCAAATAAAAGCATTATACCACAATAACGATGAACATTTTCTCCATTTCCACAAATTCACCGAAATCGTTTGCTATTGACGGCTGCCAAACAAATATTAAACAACGGAGCGTCTTCAAACTTGAAACATATGCTTTCTAGATTGTGTACTTTCTGGTACAGTAATATTTTTCAAACAACTGCCGCCTTCTCTAGGTCAGGCTGGGTACTTCTGGGACCACCCCTGTAAGCTATAGCATCTCATTTATAGATTGTGTATTTTCTGATACAGATATATTCTTCAAAAAAACTAACGCCATCTCTAGGTCAGGCCGGATACGTCTAGAACCATCGTCGTACATAGAAGTAAAAATATCCACTCGTTAGGTTCTCATCCAAAAAAACTGCTTTTTGTTGACATTATTATTCCTTCCAGGTTTCCTTGCCAGAGGAGTAGGATTTGGAGTAAAAGAGGACCTAGTGTGGTATGTCCTTTTCACGATATTTGTTCCGTATGCGATGTTGCCGCTTCCTTTGAGATGGTGCATGATAGCTGGAGCAATATCTTCGATAGGGCACATATGTGTCATTACAACGGAGATTTACTTGAAAGATGATACTGTGAGTGTTTCGCTTTTCTAACACATTGTGATTTTGAAAGAGATTTTATGATTTTTTATGATATTTCTGAAAAAGAAAATGAGTTTCAGTTAGTTGTAGATCAAGCACGTTAAATGACACCTTCTGCTAGAAAATCTATAGGACAGAAGTCGTATGTGTTTTGAGGCCCATTCGATTCAATAATTTACCACTTCATATACAAAACTACAAATCATTATTTTAATTAATATGGGAACATATAATGGAAACACCTTGTCCGTCGATTCACAGATTTTTTGATAATTGACGATGTATTCGATTTGTTTTTACTCCTGAAACTGAACTCATTCCAATTGTTTTCTTCGTATTCTTAAATTGATATTTCATGCCTACATCATATTCACGTACCAGGATTTTTTCTTTCTGTGAATCATTTAATATTCATTCAAATGTTTGGCTAGTGTTTGAATTAATGAATGAATATTGATATCATTATTTTTTTCCCAAAATGTGAGCTGGTCGGACACTGCCCCTGAAGCTCCGACACAGTCGGGAGGACGCGCCAGCATTATCAACCAATGACCACTCTCCCCACCGGGGGGTAAGTGATCATTGGATCACAAAATCATGTGCCCTAAGCAGACGCAATGAGCCAAGAATGGCAACCTTCTGCATTTGTCCTGCCAAGATTTCTGCCATTGTGCGACAAGCCGGCATAATCTTGAGATCCGAGAGTAGAGAGGGCATTATTCCACCAATAATCAAAACAACCATCCTGACAGAGTGGTCTGAATAGAGTATGTGGAGTTCGAAGACAAAATCTCGATGTTTCATCTATTTTTCCTTCTCTTTTCGACCGATATTCGTTTCACCGGAAGCTAAAAACTCCACGACGAATATCGTCTTGCGGATTGTTTGAGCCCGAGGGTGGGGAATGAATCATTTCAATAAATTTTACACTTCTCATTTCAAACAACGGAGTCAATATCTCCCGGAGCGTAGGGCAACAGCAGTGTCTTGTCAATACCGTAAAAGTGCCGTAGAAGGTAATGAAGCCACGCGGTATGTCGATAGATATAGGCTGAGATCGTATTTGCTGGGCACTATTATTATTATATTATCTCTGCAACAATAATAAAAACTGGCCAGTTTGCTATCTCTCTCTTTCTCCCTCTTTTTTTTTCGCTCAGGAGATCAAAATGAAGACAATCTAATTCAAAAAATGTTCTCTATGTAGGTGTTAATCATTAGGTACTAATCTCAATCGATTGGACGGTTCTTGATATTAATTCTTGATATTAACTCTACAGAAAAACCTCAGATACAATCCTAATAGCCTCTATGAATAAATAAAGATTATGGATACCAGGCAATTATTCTACCTTTTTGTGAATATGAGATACCACATCCAATAACATAGAAACTGAGATTCCTAACTGTGAATATACGAAACCGCAACAAACACATCCTTCCGCATGTTACAAATTTAAAACTCAAAGTGCACACTCTTATATTTCCGTATTTCAATACTAACATTTGTTCACAAAAATGATTTGAAGCTTCAATAACTTCTAATTATTATATGCGAGCGCTTTCGATAGCAGGCTGTGGCATGACTCTACTCAAACTGAACGTTTCATCTTCTTGTTTGTTCTTTTATACGGTTAGAACGCCTTAGTGCAGGTATTTGTCCTCTCTTTTCATCCGGAGGTCTCTTTAAATTTGCCTGTACTTGGGATATATCAGGTAATATCCTCTGTGTTGGTGTTTCCCTAGGTTCATTGTTTCTAGGAATGTGTATTGTATTGTGTAGAATGTTCAATGTTAGGTCTCGTTGTGTTTTGATTTGTATTTGTAGTGTGAATTATGACTTTTGAATTTATGAATGTCTAGGATTTTCCAGATGTCCATACGGTTTCCTTCATTGATTTGTTTAATGAGTTTGATGTTTTCTGGTGGGGGAAAGTTATGTTTGTTTTGTATGACGTGTGCTGCGAGGTTTCATTTATATGTACCTTTGGATGAGGTACGACGAGCAAAAAAAAGTATACATAAGCCCAATAACATATAAATCAAACCTCGCAACACACGTTATACAAAGCAAACATAAATTTCTCCCATCAGAAAACACCAAACTCATAAAAAAGTCAATGAAGGAATCCGTATGGACATCTGGGAAAACCTAAACATCCATAAATTCAAAAGTCATAATTCACTTATCGAGGAACAAATACAAATAAATACACAACAAGACATAACATTGAATATACTACACAATATAATACACATTCCTAGAAACAATGAACACCAACACAAAGGATATTACCTGTTGTAACCGGATGGAAGGAGAGGACACATACCTGCAATAAGGCGTTCTAACCGTATAAAAGAACAAAAAAGAAGATAAAATGTTCTGTTTGAGTAGAGCCATGAAGATGATAGAACAGCCTGCTATCGAAAGCGCTCGCATACAATATAATTAGAAGCTATTGAAGCTTCAACTTCTTTTTGTGAAGGAATGTTAATATTAAAATATAGAAAATGATGGAAAACTAGTTGCATCAATAAAACTTCATAATACACTGCCTGAAGAAATAAAAAAATGTAAAACAAACTGAACTTCAAAAAAAGACAAACGAAATATATTAATGGAAATGATGTATGTATTGATGTATTAATTGAATTGTATACCTTTCATGGCATTTTAACTGACTTCATTTTAGAGTTATATAGTTATGCATAATTAAATTTCAAATTTTACCAATTGACTATTTCCATACATATTTATATATTATTCTTTCTGTTTATCTGTCGATTTTATGGGAAACAAGAGTGCTTGTATTTGTATTATATATATTCACTGTGAATGAAGTTATTATTATTATAAAATCACTTTTTCAGTGTGAAGATTCCGATGAATGCAAAATAAAACGAATATCGGCGAACATACTGCTCTACATTTGCGTCAATTTTGCCGGAATGTACACGAAATATTTAACCGATCGAAGCCAAAGAAAAGCTTTTCTGGAAACTCACAGATCAATGGAAACCCGATACAGGACACAAAGTGAAAATGACAAACAGGAAAAATTGCTATTGTCAGGTAAAAAACAACCTCTCAGCACTTTGCTTTGCTTTTCTTCACTGCACGATGTTACTTACATCCAGATTATTCGTAAATACCAAATGAAAGGTAACGGTGGGGTGTGAGGATTTTATTATGTGCATCCAATGCAGTTTGTTGAATGCAGGGTTTTTAAAGAGGTAGATATTTATATTCTATCGGAGGAATGATCAGAAGGAACTTTAACACGAATGATTTTTTCTCTAAATACCATAGAAAATTTAAAATCCGACTTTTCATTAGGTACTTGGTACTGCTCGCGACTTCATTTACGTGGGTTTCAGTTTTTCGGTGTTTCCAGCGAAATAACACTTTGCTGTGAGATTTTCACTAAACAGTTCTACAAAGAAGCAACACGTGTTTCGCCATACAATGACTTCTTCGGGTGGGTCTTTACTAACTATATTCTACATATTCAATGCTTTATATACCTAATTTTACAATTTGAAGCAGTTTCATCTTCCTCTTGAAGATGATCACTTGGTGATCGAAACACGTGTCGAGGTAATAAATGTCGAGGTGTTAAAATAACAGTTTGGTGTTGGGAAAAAACTCCAGTAATATTCACTGTTCCAAACAGTGCATCACAATTTGAAGGACAGATAGTTGAACGCCAGGTAGTTGTACAAACCAGGGTGCCAACTTTAAAATTCAACACTGAAGATTATGGGGGTTGTTGAACTTATAAATTCAAGAGTGGAGATCTACATAACTCGAGTTGCTCGTTTAGGGGTATATATTTCTGGATTTTAATTGATTTGTTAATTTCCATGGCTTCCAACAAATTCATCTTTTCCCTTTATTACATATGTGCAGGATTCTGAATGTTATCTTTACTTATCTTTTATTTTGATTTTCGAAGATGTTCATACATTGTAGATTTTCAGTCCAAACAGACGTATTCACGCAGTCTTGCGTCAAAATTTCTACCGATTTGGCATGTATATACTGCGGAGCATTCGCCATACTCTATTCTATACAGAATAAGAAAAAAAGTTTATATGAACTTGTGTCCGAAAATGCTTCGTTTCGGAGATACGAGGTGTTGAAATTGTATTTTTTTGTTCGCTTTTTGAAAATAACTCTCATAAAAAATAAGTTGTTCGCACGAAATTCGGTAACCGGGGTTTTTAGACGTGGGAAATCATAATTTCGTATTAATTTCCATGTTACATCTAGAGGGCGCTGCGTACGCTGTCATTATTGATTTCAAATTGCCTTAACTTTTTTGACAGTAAAATTTTGGTATATCTCATGAAAAAAGCCAATTCCCACACCTTTTCCAAGTAAAAAAGGTATAACAACGCTGGAGGTGATCGTTTTCGAGATATTTACAATTTTCTATATCGATGCATATTACTTAGTTCCTAGGGCGCTAAGTGAAGTTGCTGAGAACATTACAAAACTAAGTATGTGGTGGATCTCGACAAAATAAACAAATTTTTTCTATAAAATGTTTAACGAAAAGTGATTCGTTTTCGAAATACAGATTGTTGGAATTTTTCAAAACATGTTAGGTTTTTGTCATGAGTTTTTTGCAATTTTGGTTATTTTCATCAAACTTTATTCGCAGTATACCCGTACAGACTTCTTCTAAACTGAGCATCATCAAACTGCTTATTCCATTCAAATTTTAAAAAATTGTCAGGTTTAATTATTCAATTAGAAAGTGCTACATTTCGGAGCTTGTACAAAAACAATTCGGAGAAGTACTATGTTATTCATTACGAAAATAAACATATACAAATTGAACGAAACAACTATTACAACTGTTCATAGTGACGACCGCCAACAGTAATACAAGCTTCTGCTCTCCTCATCAAAGAATTCCGCACCCTTTGAAAAATGCCCGGAGTGTTTCTTATCGTTTCGCAGCAAGCTATGATGCGATCCCTCAACATTTCCTCCTTTTCAATGGGGCTAGCATAAACTAGTGATTTTAGGTGTCCCCAAAAGAAAAAATCGACGGAATTGAGGTCCGTTGACCTCGTGGGCCAATGCTCAGTGCCTCCTCTTCCTATACATCGTTGGGGATATGCTACGTCTAAAAAATATCTTGCTATCACACTAAAAATGAGCAGGAGCTCTATCGTGCATAAATCAAGAGTGATTGCGGAGACCAATGGGAACATCTTCCATAAGTTGGGGAAGCTCGTGCCCAATTAAATAATCCCCAATTATGCCTACCCATACATTAAAGGAGAATCTGTTTTGGAAATGAGTTTGCGTTATCGCATATGGGTTATCTTCCGCCCATATGTGGTTGTTATGAAAGTTCATGATACCATTTCTTGAAAAATTAGCCTCATCTGTGGATTTTCGATAAAATTTGCGGATGTTGTTCGACTTTTCTTTGAAGCCATTGAGCAAATTCGATACGTGGTTGGAAATCACATATGATATGATAAGGATATAATTGATGTTTTTTAAAATTCTGTAAACTGTCATGTGACTCACATTTGAAGTTTGACCAATTTTTCTTGTACTTGTCTCTGGATGTTCACTAATTTCTTCGAGAACCGCCTCCTCCAATTCTACAGTTCTTATAACCGTGACCGTCCTACTGCAGAATTTGTTTCAAAGCTTCCAGAGTCGGAAAGTCGCCGAAAGTTGCGGATTCGCAAATGTCGCTGCACAAGGAGTCACGCGTTGGGTATATCTTTCCTGATAGATGCGTTTGGCCTCGCTTGAATTTCCGTCAGCCAAGCCGTATGCAAAAACCATATCAGCCATTTCAGCATTCGTAAAGTCGGGCATGGTACCAAAAAATCACTTTATAAACTCCGAATTGTGAATTTGTCAATTAATAGTTGAAAATATGACAGCGAACTTCTATTTTTATAAACAAACTTTCATAGCCTAATCGATTTAATTAACTTAATTTGCAAGCGGAGAGTGACAAAAATTATTGAAATCAAATTTGGCTATAAAGTAATATGCATCGATATAGAAAATTGTAAATATCTCGAAAACGATCATCTCGAGCGTTGTTGAGGAGGTGTACCTTTTTTACTTGGAAAAGGTGTGGAAATAAGGGTTTTTCATGAAAAGTACCAAAATTTCACTGTTAAAAAAGTTAGGGCAATTTGAAATAAATAATGACAGCGTACACAGCGCCCTCTAGATTTTACATAGAATTTAATACGAAATTATGATTTCCCACGTCAAAAAAACCTGGAGTACCGAATCTCGTACAAATAATTTATTTTTTGCAAGAGTCATTTTCAAAAAGTGAACAAAAAATTCAATTTCAACACCCCGTATCTCCGAAACGAAGCATTTTCGGACATAAGTTCATATAGACTTTTTTCTTAAAATTGTCTCAGGAATACGTCACTTGAATATTTCAACGTACTTATGTTACAATATTTCAACGTACTTATGTTACACCCTGTATATACCTGAATTTTTCATTCTATTTCGTTTGGGTTTTGTATTAAACAGGGTTTTGCCTAAATTATTATTAAATATGAAAGCTGTTGATATTTTGTATTTATACAACTAACCGATTTGAATTCATCAAGCACTTAATTTTGAGTGAAGCTTTGAACAATATATTAGTGGAACCCGCACCCGAAGTTTTTGAGATTGGCAAGCACGAACGTACAAGATACATAGACACAAATTCCAAAAACCGTTGTTTTGGGTTATATTGCGTTCAAAAGGTGAGACATTGAAGGAAAAATTGAAATCAAACTTGGACAAGACTTACTATAAATAATTACAGAAAGGCAAGAACATGAGTTTGTGGCTAGATGCTGATCTGAGATTTCACAAATATATGAATTCACTTTGTCGTAACTTGTACAGTATTTTACGTCAACTCTATCAAAGTAGAGATATTCTGACTTCCAAATTGAAGTTGAAATTTTGTGAAAACCTTATATGGTCTAGATTAGCATATTGGTTATTAGCATATTAGCATATTAGCAGGTTGGTTACCGATTGCTAAAACCTGACAGTTCCACCTACTCGTCAATACACATAAATTCCTCATTCTCAAAAAGATAAATTATATTTATGAAAGACATAAAACTTTCAAATCTCAAAATAATTCGAGGACACGAAAAGGTCACACTTTTATTATTCCAAGACACTTGACAGCCTGCTTTTCTTCTAGTTTTATTTACAATTCTATCAAACAATATAACGCTCTGCCCAGTGAATTTGGACACTACTCCATATATAATTTCAAGAAAAGAAAAAGTTGAAAACATATCTGAAGTCTTCTAGATAGATAATATATTCATGTTATGCTTTGTTCATATGGTTTTCCATTTGTCTCACTTTTGTGTATGTTTTGCTGTACAGTGCATTTCTTCAATGTCCCCCCCTTTTATTTTTTGAACGGGTCAACTCAAAAAAATTTAAATTTGGGATAATTAAATTACTGCGTGAATATTTTATTTTGAAGTGAAATTGACAGATGAAACTTTTAAGATGGCGACTGGAAAAAAATTTAATGAAAAGGGGGGTCTTGTGACACATTAATTTGACGCTCCTGACGAATACTTCATAACCCTAGAATATGAAGTCAATATCTTCACCTACTACAAAATGGCGGAACATTTAATAATTTCCTGAAGACAAACACATTATAATATCGACAAAATGGTTTAGACTTTCACGGCTGAGGTTTTCAGTGTCATTTCTTTTCGTGTTTGAAATCCGTGGATTTTTGGAATTTCTTCCACGGCCAAAGAAGAAATTCCAAAAATCCACGGCTTTCAAACTCGAAAAGAAATGACACTGACATTATAATATCGATATTTCTAGAAATATTCCTTTTCATCTGCCATATGACAATTCCCACAACCCAATAATGTTTGATAAGTTATTGTTTGTTTATAAAAACAACAAAAAATGTCAGTACGACAATAAACATCATTGTTCAGTTAGAATATTCTCATTTAGTTTTTGAATTTACTAGTAGAAAGGTATGTCAACAATCTCTAAACTAGTCAATTCTCGTCCATTGGAAGAAACAACTGAAGCGATTTTTATTTACGGTGCGACGCGTAACTTTCACGAGACCAAAGAAGAAGGTTTGAAAATGTGGAATTGGTTTTCACGTTCAAGAAACTAATTTTATGTTCTTTTATTCTTTGGGAAGAAGTTCTCTCCGTTTGGCCAATATCAAGTTTTAGTCAAGAATCACAAGTCAACTTATATAGTTCTGATCTATCTGACAATGAAGTTTCGTCTTAATTTTTTTTATTAGGTTAACTTTAATTATTATTATTTGTTCTATAAGTCATGTCCAAGTCTTTCGTTTTCAAAAACGAGCTAGGTTATAAAATATGTTAATGACGCTTATTAGCGTTTCTGGAAATGGAATAGACCCGATAATGTTTCGTCTTTTTCAGTGCTCCCGGATTTTGTGGCAAGAGAAATGATACGAGACATAGAAAGAGAAGAAAGAGGAGGGGCATTTCAACCTCATCAATTTCATAAAATTTACATTCATCGTTACGAAAATGTTAGCATTTTGTTTGCCGACATAAAAGGTTTCACAGGTGAGAAGAAAATCATATCGTTCAATTCCGACGTTCTATAAAATCAATTTGAAAAGACAAAATTCACTCTGATACATAAGTTTGAATCAGACTTGGAAATGCATTATTTTTCTTGTGATCATGTGTTATTTGGGTAAATGTCTAAAAATGTATAGCTTATAGTTAAGCATCTCACGCTCAAGGTTTACCTTTTGTGAGTTATCTTAATTTATTTGCAACGCATTATTTGCACACTAACTTTGTATAACTGTGTAACTTGTATGTGAATAAATTATTATTATTATTATTATTATTAATCTAATACTTGATAGGTAGAGTTGGAATCTCTAGAATAAATCTAATGACAACGCTTTTCCTACGCTACAACTAAGACACTATATCTCGACGCACGTTTCGCTAACAAAGTTGGCATCATCATGAAATTGATAACATAGCGTCAACAGATAGTGCTTTAGTTCTTGTGTGGAAAAGTTTTCTCAACGAATTTGATCGCACAGAAACCAATCTCATTTTCTGAATTTTATTTCGATATATACTACTCTGATAAAATGAATATAGTTTAAAAAACTAAAAAAAAAACGCTTTTAAAGAACATTGAACTAGAAAGTTAATTTTTTTTTAATAAGCCTAACACAATAACGATTGAAAAATACTAGTATTATTGTGAAAAAAGTGTGGGCTCTGGATATACAAAAAATATGGCACAAAGCGATCGTTATTGTTTTAAGCTTATTAAAAAAATTATTTTTAACTTTTTAGTTCAATGTTCTTTAAAAGCGTGTTTTTTCTTAACTCTATTTATTTTTCCTAATAGTTCGATGTTCTTTAAAAGAGTATTTTTTAGTTTTTGAAACTACATTTCTTTTTCAAATCAATCTTTTGATTTGGTATGTAATGTCAAGCACCTTAATTCTAATTTTTCGGTTTTTGAAAATATTCAAGTAACTGAATTTTTCATGTGTTCATTTTACGATAACGTTTTCATTGTTGAAATCCATATTCTGGTTTGCTTTCAAATAATCGAATTAGATTTTAAAATGTATCTTTAGTTTCGATCAAAACTTTTTTCTGTATTAAATCACGGGTATTCGAAAATATTTAAATATCTCCATTGACGTCATTCAACAATTCCCGAGCGATGCTCATGTCACGGGTTTTTGTTCAAAATTCGACAATTTTGGAATGAACTTCGCTGCCACACGCTTCCTGCCCAAAATTTCCGACAAAATTGCAGGGCGTGAGCCAATCGATATGCCGATATCTTTAGTAGATTCTCACATAGTGATTCGATGATTCTCCATAACAATTTTCTTCACTTTCTCAACATTTTCATCGATTGTTGATGATTTGGGGCGTCCAGGGCGAACGCTGTCATTCACATTTTCTCGACCTTCTTGTAAACATTTTTCTCTCAGAAACTGCAGTAGCGTTACTTACAAATAAAAGTGGTAAAAAACATAGAAATTTTCATATCTCTTTTCATTACTTATACAATATTGTATAAGTTTGAGAATGTCCATATTGGACGAAACTGCAGTAACGTTAGTTACAAATGAAAGTAGTAAAAAACATAGACATTTTCATTTATCTTTTCATTGCAATCTCAAATCCATCAACTTTATCAAAAATCAGTGAAAAATTAGTCGAAAGTAAGATAGTGGGTTTCTTGGAAAAACATAAAATTATAGCTCCCATATAGTTTGGCTTCCGAAAAAAAACACGAATGACGCCATCTTTTATTTCCTCGAAAACATCTACATTACCGTAAATGTACTGGCGGCGGTAGTATTTCTGGGCCTTTCCAAGGCATTTGATTGCGTGGAACATGAAATCCTGCTGCAAAACTCTTCATTATGGAACTGGGGCAACAGCCTTAGAATGGTTCAGATCTTATATTACTGGTAGAAGTCAAAAAATAAAATTGAGCAACAACACTTCTTATAATGGAAAAATTGTAAGCGGAGTTCCTCAGGGGTCAGTCCTAGGCCCAATTTTATTCTTGCCATATATTAACGATATGGCAAAACCTGATATATCTGGAGCATTCACCTTGTTTGCGGATGACACTACGGTACTTTGGGGTAATAAAGATCCGGGTACTTTGACTCGGTCTATCCGTCTATCCACGTCTATCCACTCAGTTTCAGAAAAAATAAAAAATTGGTGTGAATCGAATATGCTATCGCTAAATGTTTCTAAATCAAATCTGATAACATTCAAGTGGGACATAGAATAAGTAATACTAGGTGAACACATAATTAAAAGTAAGCCTGTAAATAAATTTCTTGGTATATTCATTGACAGTAATTCAAAATTTGATACGCAAATTACTGCTTTAAAAAATAAATCATCTTCTGGTTCATTTGCCATAAATGTCTTATCTCGTGAACTCGGATTTTCAGCAGTAATAAATACATACTATTCACTTATGGAGAGTCATCTCCGGTATGGAATTCCTTTCTGTGGCTCAGACAGCCAGATTTTCATGCAGAGTATATTCGTTATCCAGAAAAGAGCTTTGAGAATAATATTCAAATTTAAGATGCGTTACTCACGCAGGGCACTTTTCTGCAGGAATAAAATATTAACAATATTTGAAATACTCATTCTAGAGACTGTCTGCTCACTTCACAAACATACAGTTTGGGAGCCATACAGAAACGTCTACGCGGAGCGATAAAAAACTTGCCCTTCCACTGTTCATATCATTTTTGAGCAGGCATTCTCAAATCTATAGAAGTGGATAAATATATAATCATCTACCAAAACAAATTACATCAATTAATAAACTTGAAAAATTTTAAAAATCAGTAAAGAACCTTGTTTTGGGAAAGTGCTTCTACAGTTTGGAAGAGTATTTTGCATACAAATTCTAGTCTTTCGGTATACCACGATGTATATCACGAATAATGTCAAGTAATTTTAAAATTGTGTTGTTTTAGTGATAACATATTTGTAAATCTTTTTTTTCTTCGATATTTTTTGATTGTTTTTTTTTGTCTGTTATTTTTAATTTTCACTGTATTTATAAACATATAACATAACATAACAGATAATGAAGATCTATCTATCTATCTATCAGCATTCTGAGTGTTTTGAACACACTCATGTAGGAAAATAATATTTTACATTTTAGTCTGCTATGGAATGATGTTTTGTTGATGTTTCAGTTCTGTCAACAAAGTGTACGGCCCAAGAATTGGTGAAAATTTTAAACGAGCTTTTTGCAAGATTCGACAAACTTGCTACTGTAAGTTCAAGTTATGTAAATACACATATTGCACGCCATATTGCACAGACGTAGTATCTAAGATGTATAAATATGAACTCATAATCCTTATGCAACGGCGCGTCTAGGATACTGTTTCGGAAGGGGCATGCAAAAAACAAAATCATATGGATATAGTACCATTGATTGAACTGAAGTTTTTGTACCCATTATCGTGCATTGAGGGGTTACCAAACAGCTTTATCATGTTTTGAAGGTGATTGACAATGTTTCATGATGAATTTCACTGGTTCGGACTTCCATTGTCTACTATATAAAATGATTTGAAATCCCTGAAACAACTAAAAAAGAATATTTAAAAATTAATAGCTGAAAATAACAATTATCATTGTTGTTTATCATTGTTGGGAACAACCCATGACTGAAAGAGAAAAACTTTTTTTCTATACCTGAAATACCAGGTAACTGTGTGTCAAATTATGATTGCGTAACTGTTTTCACTATTGTAGTTTTAATATTTTTCATTACAAAAATTTTTTTGATGACCTTATATTAGCGAACATGAGATGCACTTATGAATTGGCTAATTTATAACTCTCTATCAATACCTTGATACGATACCTTGACAGGTCGAAACAGCTGTCTGGTTGGATCACGAGCTCTCTGGCTCTGGTATAGTACCTCGAAATGAACGTATTTCATTTCGAAACATTTCGTGGGAAATATAACAAAATTTTTGTTCGAGTGGAGAATAATTTCATCTTGCCTAAATAAATTCCCAAATATTATACAGCTATCGGACCGACTCATGCCCGGTGGGAGAAATCGTATCTGCGTAAAGTTTGGGTCGTAAAATTGCATATGTTTATGCAATTTACTTTTAAGCTCCATCACTAACTGAATATGGTCCTGGATTTGGATGTTTACGGCTTGAATTATATAACAGGCTAATAACAATTTCTACAAATCTACTGCACATGTTGTGGGAGGGAGCTTTTTCTACTGTTGCGGGAGAGTTAGAGATGACATAATTCATTCATGTCAGTACTATTCACTTCCATTTATCTTTGCTCAGGAAAACCACTGCCTAAGAATCAAACTACTTGGGGATTGTTATTACTGCGTGTCAGGGCTGCCAACTCCTAGATCGGACCATGCTCACTGCTGCGTGGAAATGGGATTGCACATGATCAAGGCTATCAAAGACACAAGAAATAAGACGCAGGTAAGGTTAGCAAAATCAGCATGATGTGACTTTATAATTATATTCATAATATTTATAGTGTGGCAATTAAAAAACTTACATACAAAACTAACAGAAGATGGCATTAAAAATTATCAAAACCTTTTCCAGAATAGGAAGTGGGAAATAATATAAACACAAAAAGAACTCACTTCGTCAACCCTCTAGGCTCCACCTGAACAGTTGAAAAAAAATCAAATAGCAGACCCCTACTTTGGTAAGCCTGTGAAAATACTAACCAATGGTACGAATAATGATTGAAAAGAATGTGCACATAAATTGAATAAAATAGCTATTTATGATATGAGTGTTGAAAGTAAGGTTTTATTTTGCGAAATGAGCATAGCGAGTTGAGCAATTTCACGATCAAAATAAAACTTACGTTCAACACAAATATCATACAAAGTTTTTTGTACCACTGTCCTGTTTTCATAATAAAATAGATACATTTATTATTTCCATAAAAACACTTTTTGACATCTCTTGTCAGTTAACTATTTTCATGTTATCGCATTTGCTGTGAAGTGGCCGTGTCAGGTGACGCCGAATCACCTGGTTAACAAGAAAAAGTATTGTTTACAGCTCACACGTTTTATTTAAAGTCACATTTAAAGTTCTTGCTGGTGTTTAATGTCTTGCATAATGAAGAACAATAGTGAGGAATTGTGTGTTCCTGACGATATTGAAGAGGTTGCAAAAAGAGCTTTAATCGGATTGTTACCAAAAAAATCGGCTCAGCAGTACGACATCGCATATTCTAATTTTCTTAGCTGGTGTAGATTAAAAATCGTCGAAGGAAATTTCAGGGAAACCGTCTTCTTAGCCTATCTAGAAGAGAAATAAAAAATATGGAACTCGTCAACTTTGTGGAGTAAATTTTCAATGATAAAGTCGAGTCCCCTCGTTGAAAATGGTGTTAATACAAGCAAATAGCATTCTTAAAGCGGAAAAATGAAAGTTACAGGCCCAAAAAATCGAAAACTCGCCAGATGAAAAATATTTGATGATGAAAGTTGCTACTATTTTCGGAATTTATGGAGCCGGCCGACGTGAAGAGCTGCGCTAGACATTGAATTAATGGATAAATCATTTATTGTTCGAATTCCAAATACAAAAACGAAAATGGGTCGTTATTTTTGCATTGTTGGAAAAAACATTGACTATTTTGAAAAATATGTTGCCTTACGCCCTTCTGTTATCAATCATCAACGTTTTTTTTTCTGAAATATTCAAATTATGAATGCAGTGCCAACCCAGTTGGTATGAACACGTTTGGAAAAATTCCCTCTACCATTGCTGAGTTTCTGAACCTCCCGGTACCAAATAAATATACAGGTCACTATTTCAGAAGCTCTTCTGCTTCTTTGCTAGCAGAATCAGGAGCAAATATAACGGATATTAAGAAGAACGGGGGATGGAAGTCTACAATAGTAGCTGAGGGTTACTTACATCGATCAATATATTTCTTATGAAAAGGCTATTGCTGAAAGAATAATCCCAACAGCTAGCGTTACAGCATCGTCCTCTAGTGTTGAAAATATTTTTAACACGCTACTTTGTAAACATCATACTCTTGATATTCTTGACAACAATTAAAAATGTCACTTTCAATGACAGTTGTACAAACATGGATTTGCCGTTTTGCAAAAATATGTAAACTGTGAACATCTATTTTCTGGTTTTTTTTGCAGTCCACTTTTCCTGTTCATTCGAGACATTCAAAAGTAATTAGTGTTATGGCTTTTTCACAGGTTTTTCAACGATATGTCACAAGTAGATGTTTGCTATTGATTTTATTCAGTTAAGGTAGGTGGGACCTAAGTGGTTGATGGTGGTTTTGAGTATTTTTGATATCATCTTTCGTTTGTAGTATAGCATATTGCAAATTTCAATATTGTCACGTTTTATCAAAACAATGTTTTTTTATCAAAGTATCTGAACTGAACAGCCTCATTCACTTCTTAGGATAAAGTGCGTGTCTCTAATATTAGATAAATTTAAATTCAAAACAATCACATTTCTGAATTCGTCATTCAGTGCCATGGCATTATTTATGCAAATCATTTATGGTTATAAAAAATTGTTGAAAGTTAAGTGGAAGTCAGTTTCCAGATACTTTTGTTTATGTGAATTATTCCGAATGATAATTTATCCAAATTTGGGGATTTTTATTCTGCGCTACTGACAATTTTGATGAAAATTAGCAAGTATAACCATTCCGAAACATCTTCATCGTGATTATACCGATGAATTTGAAATATTCTCCGCATTGGTGGATGAAAGCTATATGATTCTTTCACATCTTCATTTATAATCGATAAGCACAACTTTCGTTTCTTCTTTAACTCTGCTCTTTCCTTGCAAGAGATTGAGAGATCATTTTGTATCCCCATTAGGCTTGTTTGTTCTGAATAAACTGAATTTGATAACAATTCTTTGCAAAGTCGTAAATAATATTCATCGATGAAACTAAATCCGTGCCTAAACAAAATCAGCATTTCATCAACATCAATAATGCTAACAAAATAATGCTTACATTGACAACTGGTTGTTAAATATCCGATAAGACACCCATTTTTAATCTTATAGTTGTGTTGTATTTCTTTATGATCCGGGAACTGTTGTATACAAAAAATGCTCATTTTGGAAAGAAAATTATGTGTTCATCAATACATATTATAAATTGAAGTCTCTAGGTGTGTATGTCTGTCTAAACGCGATGAACTCAAAATCTACAGAACGTATTTATACGGTTTTCATCAAGAGACGAAATGATTCAAGATGAAATTTGTGTGAATTGATTGAAATATGATAATATTATTCGCCCCCATCGGGACGTTGGTGCGATCCTACGAGAGCTTTCATCCAAAGCCTGATTCTGATGTCTTTGAGATATAACAAAACAATTCACTAAATATTGATGAATTGGTTATGTTGCCAATATCAACATATCAACAAGAGAGGCGGACTACCTGAGTCAACATAAATACAACCTACGAAGTAGGAATCACCAGTCATCGGTGAACCATCAAGAAGAATAACTCTCTGAAGAAGCCAGCCACTCGTGCTGGCGAAATGTTGGGATGCAGTTCCAAACTTAGATGGTCGTCAAACCCGGTGGCTTATGTCTAATTTTTCAAAATAGCTGACTATGTTCATTTTAATATCAAAAATGATAGTCATATATTATATGGTGATTTTTCCTTATTGAATAAGTATTTCATGCCCATTATAACTGTCAGGTATCTCCTGTCAGATGTAATATCAGATATGTGATGTCAGATGTCAAATATGTAATGTCAGATGTCCCGGTTAATGGTATCTTCTATTTAAAAAGTTATCATCGATCCTAATCGAAAGTTCACCAAACAAATTACAATAACTGCCGTCTACACTGCCGTTGACAAACCGATACAAGATTGTATTTTAAAACTGAAATGGATCTTGATCTACATAATCAAATCTGGACGAAAATTATTTCTTGATTCTTCAAATGGAATCCTGAATTCTTCATTAAGATCGAAAATTCGCGTTACTCACGAATTTGAACACAAATTTTCGACGTTGAACTTGAAATTACGACTTAAAACTCGAAATTTCATGAATAAAATTGAAAATTAGAGATTTACGTCGAAAATTCGAGTTGAATGCGAATTCTAACTGAAAATTTCGACGTTAAACTCCAAGTTACGACTTGAAACTCGAAATTTCGAGAATGAAATAAAAAATTCGAGATTAAGGTCGAAAATTCGAGTTGATTACGAATTTGAACTGAAAATGTGACGTTGAACTTGAAATTACGACTTCAAACACAAAATTTAGAGAGAATAATTTGAAACTTCGAAATCAAGATAATGTTCTAATGCCCCCTGAACAATGGGGTTGAAAAATATAACTACTTAAGAGCAAATAAATTAATTCTTAGATGAATATCACACATATTGTTTGGCTTCAAAAGTTTCTGAAAGGTTTAAACAAACATTTGAAAGTGGCGTCACTGATAAATTTCACTTTATCATCTACAATTTCGATACCATTCAACTACGACCACTACTTTTCATCGGTTCCCTGACCATAACTCCAGTGAAAGCTAGACAAAAGTCAGCAAATACTCGTGCTGATAATTCATAAGAACGGTCGAAAGTAAATACTACTGAAGTCGTGTCTTTGCGAGCGTGAAATGAGTGTCGAAAAACAAGTTCACGAGTGCCTCACAAAAAAATTGAAAAGTTTAGCGTCCAATCACTATCACTTCATCAAAAGTAATGATAATACCGGAAATAATGACGATAATTCTATATTATGCAAGTTGAATGTAGAAGACTTTATTAATTTTGTGGAACATCTTGGCGAGTCGGATATTTCTGGAAAGATCGATTTTGAAGTATTCAAACACGGTGTTAAACAACTCGTGGAGTGCAATGAAGATGTATGCGAAGTCCTTTCAAAAAACACTCGTGTTTCGGCAGAAAAAAGTGGTGCGATACTCCAATTAGTATACGAAGTCTTGTTGGTGATCTTTTCCAAAACAAATCAGTTGGATAGACAGTTCTATTTCCACGAATGGTTGCAGTGTTATTACGCCGAACTGAAAAAACATTTCATGCAAATCGACTTCTCTTCAACAGCAATTTTTTCTCAAGACTGCTATGAATATGAAGTAAAAAAATGTCTACTTTTCGCAAAAGTGGAAACAGCCAGACAAAGTTTCTACGACTCCAAACAAAACCACAAGACTCTAGAACTCGTACAGGAGTTAATAGAGCACTTTCAGAACCCCAATCTCTCCAGAGAAGATTGTTACGTAGCAGTCAAAAATAAGCTGAAATCAAGAGAGATCAGCTTCATAGGATACCAACTAGAAGCTCTAAACGAGAGGTTGGGATTTCTTGGAGATTACTACCAACTGAAAATAACTGTGAAACACAACGAGCGAGTCGAATTACTCAAATTTTTTGCCAAATATCTACCGACAACAAACGAAACAACGAAAAGCTTGGCTCTATTATCATTCAACAAAGAAAGATTCATTTACCAAACATTCATACCAGTTCTCAACGAATTAGGATTCGAAGAGTTAACTGACTTTGCCCCGAAATGTTTCTTTGCGAGAAGTAACGATGTTCTGGTATTAGAAGACGTTTCGATCCTCCGATATAAATCTTCAGATATACATACCCCCGTCAGCTACGAGTGGATCGTAATCGTCTCGAAACTGTTGGCGAAGTTCCATGCATGTTCGATCCTGTACGAAGAGAAAATACGATCGAAACTGAACCAGGAATATTGCGAGTATTTGAAGGAGATCAGCTTCACGACAGAGCCATCTGGGGCGGTGATGCTGCGTGGGGCAAGAACTGTTGTAGAATTGTTTATGGACATACTTCCAACTATTTCTAAGAGGTTGGGAATCGAAAGTCTAAAACGGAAAGTTGACAATGCTTTCAGTAGAATGTTTCAGATTCTGAAAGAGCCAAGTAGATTCAGGAGCGTAATCTGTCATGGAGACTTGTGGGGAAGCAACATCTTGACTAAGTCAGGACAAGATGGTAAACCAAAATCGTGCTTTCTGGTAGACTATCAACTGACAAGGTACGGTCCACCAGCAATGGATCTTCTTTTTCTATTGTACACGAACACTGATAAAGAAACGAGAAAACAATATATGGATGCTGCAGTGAGAGAGTACCATGGAGAACTTTCCAGGATCCTGAATAAATATGACGTTAACGTTAACAATATTTACGACTTCGAAACTTTTTTAGAGAGTTGCGAATATGTTAGATCCGCAGTAATTTGCCAGGCAGCTTGTTATTTGCAAATTTTGCTCTGCCCGAAAGAAAAAATCAAGATGATCAATGATTCTCCTGAGGATTCATTGCATTTTTATTTGGTTGATCGCAGTGATGTGTTCCTTGAGGCGATGGAATATGAACCGTTCAGAAAGAGGATGGAAGAAATTGTAGAAGATTTATGTGAAGTTTGAGGATTTTATTGGCAAAATTTACGATTTTATATCTAATATTTATATTCTTCAACTTTTTTGACATGAAATATATTTTTGAAGTCACTGATGAAGAATAGTATATTACGTATCGAGTAGGATAAGAAGCCAATTACCCACGAGCAAAAAATTGTAAGCACGAGACGTTAGCCGAGTGCGATAATTCGCGAGTGGACGTAATTGGCCTTATCCTCTAGGTGTGCACTATACTTTTTCTACGACTGATCGTAAAAGGAATGGAACAATATGTTTGTATGAGATCATGACTTTGGATAATAAAGTCATTCAGTCAATCAATCAGAAGTCAATTGAATGATTTGAAAATTGGTGACAATATTTCCTACAAATTATTTTATTAGGGTTCATTTTTGTTAAAAGTTTTTGCTAAATCTTCGAAATGAACGAAAAGAACGTTTTCTTCTCTCTTCAACTCATAAAATTTTCGAAATTATATCCGTATTCTTCTCTTGATTTTGCTGGCAGCAAATTTTTCATCGCAATATTTGCTTGCTCGGTATTATCTGGTGGGGTAACACGAATTTTTTGATCGGTATCACTCATTTTGAATTTTCACGAGATACTGAATGACAGCTCATAACAACGAGTGGTTGTTGATTCACGGATATAACTAGATTCATTACCAACCCACAAACTGTTGAACAATAAATTTTGGATTTTGGCTTTTGGGCAATTAAATGTATTCATAAGATCATATCAGAGTAATGGTTACATATCTTATCATTTTTGAAAATTTCCTATGGAAGTGGTCGACATTAATTTAGAATACACGTGCATTCTAAATGAGCCATTATCCACCTGTTATCAAATGCGTAATCATTACTTCAAAATGAAGGAAGTAGAAACAATTGTTTCACCAGGTGTCACAATTTATGAGTAACTGTTTCTTTGTTGTTGAAGGTGACATTTTGAATTTACAATTCCAGTGCTGCCGTTGAAAAAATCCACAACAACAAACCAAAGTATTAATAACTGTCAGACAATATTATACGATTTTTTTCTTAATATTGTATTGGAAATTTTGAAGGGTTCAAATCATTTCTATTCCATATTCGAACGAACTATGGATTCAAGAAAGATAGTTGAAATTTTTGAGCCCCGAAAAGTTTTATTTTTGGTTTCATCAAAAAATAATTCTTTGCTACGTATATCTATTATGAAAAATGTATTTTTGCAGTTTTTGAAAATCGTATCCATTGATAATATAATACAAACAGGTATTTCAATACAGTAACCGTTAACTAATTTCAATTGTATGTTTCCTACTTTTATTGTGAGAAATGTCTCAGAAAATGAATTTTGTAACTGAAAAAATGACCTAACCACAAACAAAACCACTCATCAGGGAGTTATTGAAATTTGAACTTATAAAATTAACAATAGTGTAGAAATATTACTTTATATCAGCCTTATATATGTATGTATATCCACACACGAGCATGGTATTACTTTATTCATAATCTGTACCCTTATATTGCTGTGAATAAATTATTATTATTATCGTTATTATTAAATATAACCCCTTCAATTTAAATATTAGTTTCACAAACTACACCTAAACGATTTGATCTACACAAACTTTATTGAAAAAATATATCACAACATGTTTCGCTAAACATTAGGTTTTTCAAGTGATTAAGGTGTAGTTTGTGAAATTAATATGGATCTTCATCAAGTAACGGCCGAATCAATGAGAAAATTAAATAATAGTATTACAAAAATTTTGCTAATTTGCACCACCTCCCTTAAATATTTCAACTGATTTAAATTTTGAATGGAACTGGCCAGTACTTGATGAAAATTCATACCAAAACTAACTGATAAGATTTATTTTGATTTTCATTATTGCCACATGTGTTTCGCTATACAATAGCTTTCTCATGCAGGATTTCAATAACTACTTTGAGACCGAAACATTTTATATCCCAAAAACACAATGATTCCGATTCTTACCTACCTGAAAAGAGCGGATACAATTATTTCATTAACCAGTAAGAGCAGGTGAATACACTTGAAATGCACCGTTTGGAACCTTTGGTGTAGTAATGAATATCACTGGAGTTTTAACCAAATACAAACCGTTATTTCCAACACCTCTACATGTGTTTCAATCACCAAGTGATCATCTTCAAGAGGAAGATTGAACTGTTCAATCGTACTGTCCCAATGGTTGGGCAAGGCATAGGCTTCTTCCCACTTACCAAAATAGTCCATGGCTACCAGGATATATTTGTTCCCATGGTCGGACTATGGGAACGGGCCGGCGATGTCGATGGCGATTCTCTCAAAGGCACTACCCACGTTATACTGGCGCACTGGAGCTTTCGGTCGTATCCGAGGTCCGTTACTGGCAGCACAATTTCTGCACCAGTCCTTGACGTCGGCTTGACAATAAACCCAGTAAAACCGTTGTCTTAACTTCTAGAGGGTCTAGAGGGTCTTCGTTACTCCCAGATGTAATCCAGTGACTCCATCATGGATCGTCGTCTGTTCCTGGTTACCACTGTCTGGTGACTTTCTTTTCTGCTACCTCCTTCTACGATGATCTTTGAATAATTGTCCTCCATCCGATGACTAAACCAAGATCTGGGTCTTTCTCTTGGTCTTCCTTGATCTTATTGTCCACCCAGTTGTCGTCTACAGCTGTAGTTCTACAAATAGCTATTTCCTTCTCTTCTGCTAGTCGGTAATGTGAGCAGTCATCGAGATATGGTCTCCGTGACAGGGCGTCTGCGTTTTTTTCGGGGGCTTTCTGGATACAGCAGCTGGATACAGCCCCTTCTCATCGGCCCTCTCTTGTTTTTCTGATTTGGTGTTGGTTCTTTGAATGCTTGGACATTTGCTACGCACATGCTCAATTTTGCCACAGTTCCAGCATCTTATTCGTTTTCTCTCGAGCAACACTTCTTTTATTACTTTTCTAATGGTGGCCTCAGTATCAGTAGGCAACTGAACATCTTTCTCGATAGTTCGAGCTTTGCTCTGGTTCTTGCAGGATTATTTTGCAGCCTCAAACTCCAGAGCTCTTGCCAGTGCATCCACGAGATGTTTGGAACAAGCTAGTGTCGATGCCTGCCTTGTTTCTTGGTCGCGAAGTCCGTCCAAGAATGACTGAACTGCTAACCGTTCCATTACATTTATCGGTGTAGCAGGATATGCCAGACGAACCAATCGAGCAATGTCGGCTTCAAATTCTTGTAGGGATTCTTCTGATTTCTGGCAGCGGTTCTTCAGCTGTGAATGGTAAACGTGCTCTAGGTGAGACTGCACATACCGTAGCTCAAGATGCTTTATAAGTTGGTCATAGTCTTCCTGTTCTTGGGCCGTGAGGGTTTGCAGAATATTCGTTGCTTCTCCACGCAACGCCGGTGTTGAAGCCACCGCCTTTTCTCCTGCATTCCATCCATTCACTTTGGCCGCAGCTTCGAATTTTCGGCGGTAATTTGCCCAATGAGTTTTCCCGTCGAAATGTGGCGGCTTCATGGAGAGCTTTCCTGGTTCAGAAATGATTTTGACATCTTTCATTGCCTTTTGAAGTTCTTCTATGTTGAAACTCAGTTCCGGAATTGAGTTTTTGGTAATAGTTTCTGTGGTGTGTCTGCGGCATAATTAATGATTTGGTTTTGAAACTTGCTAATTGTTTCCTTTATCTTGCTGATTTTTGCCTGAACTCCGCCTTTGATTTCCTCTACTTCTGTGTTCATTTCCTTCCTGGTTTTATCTATCTCTTGTCTCAATGGTTCCTATCCTTTCTTCAAGTAGACTCGCCACTTTAAGCCTTCTGCATTTTCTAGTTCTTTCTTCGAATTCTTTGAATTCTCCAGAAGCTTGTCCTCCAGGCACTTCGAATTTTGTTGAAGTTCATCTTTTAAACTCACGAAATTTTCGCAAAGCTTGTCTTCCAAACTCTTCGAATTTTCCAGAAGCTTCTCCTCCAGGCGTTTCGAATTTTCTAGAAGCTTCTCCCTCAGACTTACCGAATTTTGTTTGAAGTTCATCTTTCTCAGCGATTTGGTATTCTCATCGAGTTTGCTCATTATGAAACTCAAAACATCCCCAGAAACTTCGAATAAATATGTTCCAGGATCTCCTCCTGATTAAGTCAAGTTATCCCACAGTCTCTTCTAGAGTACTGATTTCTTTCCAGAACAATCTAGCTCCCTCTCCTCCAATTCTTGCTTCAATTCAGCGACTTTCAAGTCCACAAGGCGCACTTTCCTCGAACACACTTTGTTATCTTATTGTCTTTTTTCCACAAAACTGTATGTGTCCACTTATTTTAATCGAGTCCAAAAAACACTTATTTACTTTCACGAATCTATTTTTCACGAGAAAGGTCTATCAGTTTATGTTTCCGTAGTCCGGTACTGTCCACTCCGCGAAACACAACGAATCACCAGTCTCTCTGCACGAACAACTGAGTCTTAAGTCTCAAGTCAAAAAATCCTGCTGATCCAGGTGACCACACGGGGTGAAAGACCCCATGCGCGTCCCCAGTAGGCCTAATCCACGAAAAATTATTTCTAGGCGAGATATTTTTGAGCATAAGTTGCTTTTCAGCTATTGTTTTTTCATGTTCTTTGATGGTCCAGGCTGTGGTTCAGGATCTTATTCAGTATGGGAAGTGAATGTTTGCGGAATAACGGGAATCAGAATTGGCGTTATTGTGACTAATCCATCTTCGAATTCATTTTCTTCGATGAATTTTGATATTCCCATGATATTACTGTAGGTTTAACCAAAACGATCGAGGCACACTACAGAACACTTGAGGCCTGCTTTTCAACAACGACACATACTTCCCTAGTTTCTCTTGCATCTGCAGAAGTTCGTGGGGTGCTGGAGGCTTGAAAGTTTGGATTGGTATCCAAATTTTTCAATGCTTTTTCCAGCCTCAATCTTCAGGATTACAATGTTTGTCGAGCCACGACAGAACCTGGTGATAAACTCGGTGACTGTGGAAACCGGCTGCATTTCGTGTTGGAGAAAGGGATGATGAGTTGATGTATTTTTGGTTACTGACTTGGCGAATCGTTTGTATCTTATGCTGTTCAGAGGATTATAAAAAGAGACGAAAAAACGTTCGCCTCCGACAGTGAACAAAGATGGCTCGACTTTCTTACTGAAAAATGATGCTATTTCGCTTGCTAACTCAGGATGTTTCTGTAAAATTTTGATGGATTGAGGTTTGTCTGCTGATAATGTGTCGCTTTCTAAAAAGGCATGGAGAAACAGCAAATTCTCTGCAATGACGTCGCCATATATAAAACCTGAAAAATAGTATAATTGATCAATCGTACGCCCTTTTGAAGGTTAAAAAAACATTGGACTGCTTCTTTCCTAATGCAAGATGAAAATGTCAATGTCATCTGCTATCATAGTCACATAATTATAGGATTGGGAAAACGCAGAACGGACGATGACTATTATTATTGCTTTGTTATTTCTTTACCAAGAAATTTATCTTGGGATAATGTTGGTAAGGTGACCTTATCAAACTTTATCTCTGTCGATTGATGCTTTTTCGTGCGACGCAAGCGCTCCCACGACTTTGTTTCTGCGATATCAGGGTTTTCGTAGTAGCAATCAAATATTATACTTGCAGATAACCCATATTGTTCTTGAACATACCCAACATACTCATCAAGAATGTTGTTCAAACACGAATTCCGATCTTAAATAAATAAATATACTGTGCATTCCATTTAGAACGAGCCACCCTGAAAAACTTTTGGTGAAATTATTTTCAGGAAAAATAAAATGACACCATAGTATACAGGGGGACACATTTTGACATATTCACATTTGATGTTACTTCACCCTATATTGTTTCGCATTATCAGATGCTTCATGATGAGCAGCAGATTTGAACAACGTATTAAACATATGGTCTGAAGCGGATGGTTCGTGAGCTACAAATTATTTGAGTTGTAAACGAGCCACCTTTACCCTTTTGAAACAATGATTTGCAGGAAAAATAAAAAACAGGTTAACAATTATACAAGAGGCCACATTTTCAAGTATTTGTTCTAGAGACAAATTTGGAAGCATTAAATCAGAAAAAGAGATTTTTTATTAATTCTTGAATCAAAATCTGATGACTGGACTATGAGAAGAAAAAAATTTGTCTATAGTTAATGTTCAAAAACTTTTCCACCAATTTCCATACAATGGTACAAACGAGCTTCCATTGCCGCCCTCACATTTCAGACTTCAAATGACCCCATAGAAAGAAATCTACAGGAGTGAGATCCGAAGACCTTGGTGGCCATTATGTAGGACCTTTTCTGCCAACCAAGCGACCAGGAAAATGGTCATCCGAAAATTGTCGCACTGGAGCTGCATAATAAGGAGGTGCACCATCCTGCTGAAGAAATATTTCGTTTTCGAATAAATTCATATCCTTCCCAATTGCCTATTGATGCACGTTATTATTCAATTCTCCATCATATCCAAATATTTATCAATAGTCAAATTATTATCGATAAAAAAGGTCCTATGATGTGGTCACATAAAATTCTTGCCCAAAAATTCAGTTTTTGAGGTCGTTGGGTATGAACCTGACGGTATAAATGAGGATTCGTATCACATCAATATCGACAATTTTGCCGATTCATCTCTCCATTCAAACTAAACGTACATTCATCCGAAAAACAAATTTTATACAAAAAATTCTGATACTTCGATACGTCTATCAAAATCATCTTCGTTCAATTCATGGACTAGTCTAATCTTATATGGATAAAATTTGTACTTATGAAGGACCCTGAAAACATTTGAATGACTGATTCCTGATTCTCGAGATAACTCAGTAAGAGATTGCGAATTTTCCATTAGTCAAACGTGCCCTAAAACTGCAGTACAAATAGCTTCATCATTGACAACTCTTGAACGGTTATGCTTTTTATTGTTAACAGATCCAGTTTCCATTCTATTTCCATTCTAGTACAAAATCATTATTTCAATCCGTTCTCGAAGCGTATAAACCATTGCTTCTCAAGAATTCACAACAGAAACACCAATTGTAACTACACCTGGTAGGTAATCGTTATTGTAGAATGAGACAAATACAAAATGAAGAGAATTTCGATTTCAAATTTGAGTAGGCAAAATAACCTCTGAAACCAAGGTAACAAATTGTACAGAAGTTCATTCAGGGTGGCTTCTTTTCAACTAAAATAATTTTTAGCTTTCAAACTATGAGCTTCATACCATAATGTATAATTGATTAATCTTGAGCTGGTTTCTGAATATTTCAAATAAACAACTGAATATTTCATACTGTTTATTCTTTTTGATATAGTTTATTCAACAATAATTTGTCCTAAAAAACATTTCTAGACATTGAAACTATTTTATAATTGATACGTCTACAGAATTGTCAATAAGAAATTATAGTCCAAACTATAGCACTACGATTATTCGAATTCAGTAAACTGAATTTTTTGAAATTGTTACAATGGAATATTTCTTCTACAATGAGAAAACAAGTACTGATCTCTTGATTAACAATTTCATCTAGAACTAATGGAAAATTCACCAAAATGGCATTAAAATTAGAACTACTCAAGCTTTCATGTATATTTGAGTTTACTTCTTAGAGTCTGCATGAGTCCCTATACTATAAATATTCGCAAAAGTCCTTGAGATCTCGAATGGATTCCCTCAGCCTTTTCTCGTAAGATTCGTCAGTGTCCTTGTGAGCCAACACAAGGTAGCTCCGATCCTCGAAGAGAGCTTTCTCGTTGAGAATTTCATCGGAAAAATATTCTTTCACTTCGTCATTACTGATCAATATAAGTGGAAAATACATAGCAGTCTGTACAATTGCAAACAACTTCTGTTCCTCACAACTTTCCATGAAATCAGAAAACGGTATGATGTCATTTATATTCAAATCCGATACCTTCAAATGCTTCTCCAAATAACTATAGTACATGCCTATGATTTGGTACATATATTTTTCCCTGAATTCCCTGGTAGTCGTCAAATAAATCAGCGAAAGTACATCTTGGGAGGGGGGCGCGTATCGTCCAAATTGAAAATCGAAGAATTTACATTCCCTTGCAACGTGATCCTTATCGTACCGTAACATGAAGTTTGTCATCCAAAGATCGCCGTGGTTCAGGACGTTCCGGAACTTCTTGGAAGGTTTCACCAACTGATAGATTTTCAAACACGTTGTTATAGCTATTTCAGCAAAGCATTTCCCAGATGAAAGTATCGGGGGGAAGTCGAATATCTCAATTTCCTTCACGACACACTTGATAGAGGCCTCAATACCTCTGGAGTTGATGAAACCTTCTCGATCATTGTAGAAGCTTTCCTCCAAATCCTCTTCGTATTCTTGTAACAAGTTCTTGTTTAATTTTTCCTCATAAATTATACTAGCAGCATGCAGTTTTGCCAGGGCTTGGAGAACGATCAGGACAGATTCAAAATCAAGAGTTTCATGTTTGTCCAACATCTTGAAGCCTTCTTCCAATAGGTTATCCAGAACCAAGTGCTTGTTGTACTCTGCCAAGTAACACTTGGGCGCTACGTTGGCGGCAATATCAACTCCTTTTTCAATAAATTCTTCCAGCATACTGTAGATGAACACTTCTTTTCTGAAAGCACCCAAACCTTCTGCGAATTTTGCTGGTGCCGCTTCTTTTGGAAAAAGTTTCAGGAAAAACGATATATTCTCTTCTATTCCTTCAGCGTTTAGGATTGTTACGAAAATAATTCTGTGATCTCCCAATAACCCATTCTTCTCCTGATGTGGCTCATTTCTGTATCTCAGAATTACAAAATGCTTCGTTTTCAGTTTTTTTGCCAAGGCTTCAGAAATGTTTTCTTTTGAAATGTCTTCAACATATGCATGAGTGGAATCGTTGAGGTCGTTCATTCTGACATATATCTGAAAGTAAAATGAGCTGTTATACTGATTTTCAACTGAACTGAGATTGAAATAAATTGGCCACTCAAAATTTAGCATCGATTGTACTTCTTTAGATTTAGATATAACGTACCTTACAGTTATATGTAAGAGTGTAAGGTATTTTTTGTGCAACAAATAAACAGTTTTAACTGAAAACAGTCAAAATAAGATATACAAAAGTTTACAATGGTCTTTTCATTTGACCACATTATTGCCCTTTTTTGTGGTACAAGAACTGAGTTCATCTGCTGCCTGTTGCAAAAACCACAGAATACAATATTATACAACCAGATGATAACCTCTCATCCAACATTTAAAAAATCTGTTTAAAATCTGTTTTTCCGTAAATCAGCTGTAGCCCCCTTACAAACGACAACTCTCAGAAGTTGAGAAACTTGTGCGAGCTAAGGACTAACGAGGTCTTACCTTTTAACGTGTGATTCCTAATACGTTCACGAAAGTTAAATGCAGAATCCATATCAAATCAAGACATTTTCAATTCGATTCAGTGTCAATGATTCGACTATCTACCGAAGAAGTATCATAATTGAATCGAAAATTCATAATATTTCTTTGGTATTATTGAGGCAAAACAAATTATAATCAAACCAAATTGTACTTGTGATGTACTGTTTGGAACCTTTGGTGTAGTAATGAATATTACTGGAGTTTTTTCCCAACACCAAATCGTTATTTTTACACCTCGACACGTGTTCCGATCACCAAGTGATCATCTTCAAGAGGAAGATAAAACTAAAGCTACTTATACTAATCAGGTACATCATACAGGTAGGTAATCACTAATACCACCCATACAAGTGTACCACCCTAAATTAATTTTAAAATTGGCCTTTCTATTATTTTACAATATGTCCTTATGTATGTTTGAATGTTACAGCTATATATAGAACAATTTTCAGATATATAAAATTAGTTTCACAATATTGCCTATCTAAATATATTTACAATGTGTCTTTTTGTTGTAATCAGTAAACCCAACAATATTATTTCAACAAGCTATATAGTATGCTATTTGGTATTGGTCCGTTGTCGTTATTCATAATATTATTATGTTTACTTATTTCTACACTCTCATAGGCATCTAGTTGCCTGTTGTTGTTAACTTGTCTAACTAATCTTAAAGAACTGAAGTCTATGGAATGGTTTTGTTGCAAAATATGATAGGCGACTGCTGATTTTTCAGGTCTTCCATATTTTAAGTGTGCTATGTGTTCCTTATATCTCACTTTAATACATCTTTTTGTCTGTCCATAATATTTTGCATCGCAGTCCTTACATTCAATTTCGTAAATTCCAGACTTTTCCGAATTCTCGATTTTGTCTTTTGGACTTCCCAAAAGGCTCTGCAGTGTACACCTTCATACCTAGTTCCTTGAAAATCTTTCCAAAGTTCTTCGTATATTGGTGGTATGGAACTGAGATGTATTTATCTTGGTTTTTGTCCTTTCTGAAAGTCGAGATTTCGTTCATTGTTAACCTAAACTTCTTTTTCCTAATTATGTCATTTACAATACCCCTCGGGAAACCGTTAGTGGCTGCTATTTCCTGTATTGTACGTTTTTTTTTGTGAACCTATCATGTGTTAGAGGGAAAGTGAAAAGACGATGAACCAAAAAATTCAACCCAGCACGTTTGTGCTGTCCACAGTGATGTGAACTGTCAGGAATATACCTGTACGTGCTTGTTTCTTTTCTAAATATATCGTATTATAACCCTCCATATTTGCTCCTCATTACCAAAACGTCAAGAAATGGTAGTTGTCCCTTATTTTCTATTTCATACGTGAATTTTATTGATGGACATCTATTATTTAAAAAGGAAACAAAGTCCTCGATATTCGATTTTTTGGTATCGAATACCGCGAAAATATCATCCACATACCTTAGCCAAATCCTAGGAAAATACTTTGACTTTTCTTTAGTTTCCATTTCGAATCTGCTCATGAACAGGTCTGCCAGGTAGGGGGACAAGGGATTTCCCATGGCCGTTCCTTCCTGTTGTTCATAAAAGCAACCTTCTATCTGGAAACGATTTTGTTTCATACACAAATTGGTAAGAGAAACGAATTCATCGATTTCGTTGTTATTGAAACACGTGTCGAGGTGTAAAAATAACGATTTGGTATTGGGAAAAAACTCCAGTAATATTCAAACCAAATTGTAATGATTTCAAATCATCAGAGATCATTTCCTTCAAAATAGCAATTTTTTTCGCTTTAAAACAGCGATCAATCTCAATTTGCCTTCGATTTCAAATCATTTAGATACACTAAGTAGCACGTGGGTTGGGCTACCTATCGGGCGCGTCACCAGGTGACGGATAGGGGAACGACCAGGGGACTGGAGGTCCTGTCCAGGAAGTCAATGTGGTCTTACGGACAGGGTCGCCAGACTCCTGGTCAGTGGCAGAAATAAGTAGGGTGAGGGTAACTAAAACCGCTAGAAGCCTTTGCAAAACATGCCACCATGGACCACTACCCAAGCTAAGGTGTAAGGAATCGTGTCGACAGCTGAATGACCGCAGGGTGATATGCGGTCACGAACGATCTCCTTGGGGAACTAGGCGAAACCTCATCGTAAATAGCCTAACTCTGATAATGCGTGGCTCTGCCAGAGGTGACCTACTCTTTCCTTGCTACTCGTGGGAACACAAATGAATGAAACAACACAAAAACAGAAACAACGAAAACAAAAACTGATCTGATCATAGCAGATCACCTCCAACAGCAAGGACACCAAGAGCTCCGCCAAGGATAAAGGCAAGGAACCGGCTGCCCCTACAGGAAAGCTCCCTCACTTGTGCACCTCCACGGAGGGAACCCCAAAAAAGTTGAAGAAGCCGCAAAACGACACTAATATCGCTGCACCTTCCAAAACATCCGCGGAAGCCACCGTGAGACACCTCAAGGTTACCAAAGAGAGTGTGTGTTCGGCGAGTCTTGGCCTATACCTGCCAATATAAAGGAAATGTCTCTTAGTGACCTGTTCACCTTCCTGGAAAGGACAGGATGGACGATAATCTAGAAGGACAACTCCTCGGGAGGATGTACAATGGGTCACATGTGGCCTAAGTGCTGTGAGTCTACACTCACCCTCCCTACTCTATAGATACAAATTTGGGCCAAGCACCGACCCCTGTGTTATACCATCATTCATATAGTCAATAGAAGATGTTCTATCACATACTCTTACAAATAGAAACCTATTGCTGAGGTGAGAGTCAAATCCATAGTCCATAGTCGTTAACCGCTTTTTTGGGATTAATTTTTGTGAGGTTACTACCGGTGATGCTTCCGGATCTGAATCAGTTTTTTTCTTACCTCGCTAACATTCCTTTGGAATAAGAAATAGTTACCACTGCGAGACGGCTTTTCTTCCTCATGGAGCTCCTGACATCTTCTGGTCAAGGTCTGTCTACCATTATTTTGAAGTAACCATTCTGTTCTGATCTCTTCTGATGTAGATACTTCTTTTCGTGTTACAAGCACTGAATGCGCAATAAAGTGGGGTCTTACTGATTCCTCTCTTGGTAGATTGGCCCGCTTAAGTTGGTTTCCTGAACACATATGTTTCCTGCTTGTCGGTCCTATTCATCGTTAATTTGAAAAACGGTATTTCATTATTAGCTTCCTTCTCCATTTTCAAAGTTATGGTAGGTATCATGCTGTATCTTACATGCTATGTAGATATCGTTACATGTATTAGAATCGGGGCTTCTTGTGAGCTCCTGTAAAGCCATTCGTACTGACTAGAAGTGAAGAAAGTAGCGATATCACTAGTAGTCTATTTTTTTGGGGAAGAATTCACCCTTCATCTGAAAATAGCCATTCTGGACCTGGTAGCATTGTAATTCCATGATAGTTTTCTATTATCTTTAGTACCACACAAGGGAATTGAATTCTTAGCAAAAGATGTATTTTTTCTTTTTAGCTGTTGAATGACTAGGAGTAGTGATCTGGACAAGTTGTGAATGGTAAAATTGTTGGAACTGATCAATCTAAGCGAAACATTCCTCTCATGAATCCTGAATAGAACATACAAGTAAAAGGAATTGCTGTGGTGCGGTGTCAGTGATACTCTTCCCTGTTTCGACGGTTTGGTACACATTTTTTGATCGATTCTTCGTCAAATTTTCGCTTGTGGAGGACGGTACCCATCACAACGGTAACATTTCCGTTATCGACGCGGTGGAATCTTGACGATGGTGTTTTCTCTTCGTAAATTATTAGGAGACTTTCGAATACTTTAATTCTAAACATGTTTTGCAATCTTCTCCTGGATAATTTTAAGAAATTTGGCAACAAACGTATCTCGTAAAGCACTTGATCAATACGTCAGCGCCCATTTTGTCCCCCTGATTCATTCAACAACTCACAATGGCCCAATGGGTTCGAAATGGGACTGAGGCCAAGTCGGAACCATACTTGTTATTCAAGTTACGCTTCATTGCGAGATTCAGCACATAATAAATCTAGTTTAAAAAACTAAAAAACACGCTTTTAAAGAGCATCGAACTGAAAAGTTGAAAATATTTTTTTAAATGAGCCTAAAACAATAACGAACGAAAATTTTTAGTATTATTGTGAAAAAAGCGATGGGCGCTTGATATACAAAAAATATGGCACAAAGCGCTCATGATTTTTTCACAATGATACGTTATTGTTTCAAGCTTATTTGAAAAAAAATAGTTTTAACTTTTTAGTTCGATGTCCTTTAAAAGCGTGTTTTTTAGTTTTTTAAACTATATTTATTCTTAATTTTTTAGTTTCATATGCTATAAAAGCGTGTTTTTCAGTCTTCCCAAACTATATTTATCTTATCTAAACTTTGGGATCAATCAGCCGTATATTGTTTACAAAAATGACCATTGATATTTTCCGATTCCGGAGAGGGAACCTGAAAATCAGCTACCAAGCCTAAGGCAGCAGGCGCGCGTCTTAATAAAAAAATACATGTAAAGTGAGTTCGAATTATATCAAGAAGGTTACGTACAGCGCAATCTGTCCACGAATAGATCAAGCAATAATTTCGATTATTCTGTCAAATACGGATCCCGAGCTTGAGAGTTTCAACAAACAAATAAACAAACATACATACATACCAATAAAAGCGTGTTAAAAAAGATCTTCAAAATTTGCTCATATCGTGGTTAGTAATACCTATCTACTACCTGATATTTTTCCTATTCTAAACTACTTGTTTTTTCAATACCTCTGATTTGTTATGTATTTCCTTCATGTTAGTGAATATATCCTACATTTTTCTCTGATTATTGGAGAAAAAATACTGTTATTGTTCCTATGCTACTCAACTACATTTTTTTTTCAATACCTCTAGTTTGTTATGCATTTCCTCTATGCTAGAGACTATCCCCTAGATAATTATCAATCCCTCTAATAATTAGAAAAAAAAGTATGGGATGCTAACTAACATAGAGGAAATGCAAATTAGCAATATTAAAAAAACAGAGAGTTTAGCATACGAACAATAACAGGTAGTACTTAGGTAATACTAACCGGTACTAGTTAGGTACTACTAAGAGGTAGTACTTAGGCCACTATGGCGATGCATAGACAATAAAAATGACCCCGGTAAGAATTTAGTTCTAACATTTAACATTGTTGCCGTTAGCTCTCAGTTCAATTTGTATGAGTTACCCTAAATTGAAAATTGTTATAGTACAGCATATAGAAACACTAACATAGTATTGAAATTTAGTCATAATGATATCCTGAGGACGTTCTATGTTGGGAAGTGTTTGCAACAGACTTCACTCAACGTAGGTACTTGTGATGAACTGTTTGCAACCTTTATTGTAGTAATGGATATCACTGGAGTTTTTTTCCAACACTAAATCGTTATTTTAACAACTCGACATGTGTTTCGATCACCAAGTGATCATCTTCAAGAGGAAGATCAAACTGTTTGATCTTACGCATGCTATTTAGCTTCAATTAGTGATATTGAATTTTACTCAGACTCTTCAGTAAATATCCATGTCCAGGACAATTCTAAACAATTCTCTTCAGTTAGGATCCTCCATTTTTTCACTCTCAGCTTGAAAGATGGCAACTTCACAAAAAACATAACTTTTCGAGGATCTATTTCTTCTCTTCAGCAATCTATAATTATTAATGAAGTTTTTCACTTAATTTGCACCACTCTCCAGAACTGATTAAATAAATATTTGACAGATTCCTCAACTAATGTTGGTCGAACTCAATGAAGGAATATCAGTATTTTTGTATCAAATATTCGCCTTTTTGCTCAAATGGTGACCTGCTCGTTATCGCTAGAAGGAAATATGAATTCCAAAACAAGCAGTGGAAATTTATTTTCTAGATATTATTTTCCTCTTTAAAAGTTTTTATTTGTATTCTCCTGTGTTACTTTTTTCCTATTACCTTCCAATTCCTTGGCAGTTATTCACAAAACTTCACCGCCTTTCAACTATATTGATCAGTTCGATCACCTACTCTTTCAACAATGTTGAACATACAAAACTTCCACTTTCACACTACATTCCATCGTGAGATGAACAGGTAGTCGAAGTAGATATAGAATATTAATCTGATACTAACTATCAACACACTCACCTCAGCTTAATGGAAAAACTTCAAAATAACAATTCCGAAACAATGATGTCATATGTGAATACACATAATAGTGTATTCTAATGAGTTATCTAAAAGGTTATCTTTGTCGTTCCGTTATCATTTGCAAATATTTGTATTTAACGTAATTACCAGTAGACAGCATCATGAATGTCCCAAAAACCGACCAACGAGTTTCCGCTAAAAATGTTTACACTATATTCTAAGTTCATAAACATGTTTATGATCCAGTGTTCAACTCTTTTACTCATTTAGATTGAAAAATCCAACAGTTTCCTCTAGGAATATTTTGGAAAAAACTGCCAAGGAATCATGTATTTTAATATCCTTCAGTAACTGTCAAGATTTCTGGTCCCACTTATTCATATACTGCAAAAAAAACCTCTCATTTCGTCCACTTGTATCAATGGTGGACTTTTGGACTTGGTAGAATTATGACAAATGGCTTTAGAGTGACCATATCTAGAACAATTGTGATCAGCAAGAAGTTCATTTTCAGTTCTGGAGTTCTTTACTTCAGTTTATCCTTAAAATGAATTTGTTGCCAGTGATAGCAGACCTGATAGGTACGACTTGTAGCACTGAGAATTTTTCTCTACTTTCAATAGCCGGAATTTTTAGACGCGATACTTGCTCTCAATTTATGTTAAACCATGGTTGAACAGATTCGACTTGGGGATATTTTTGAACGCAACAATGGCTCTCAATTCATGTCAAACCATGGTTGAACAGACATTGACTTGGTTAATTCATGAAGTGAATTATTGCGAGTGATAGCATAACTGATACGATTTGTACCACTGGGATTTTTCCTCTAATTTCAATAGGCTAGATTTTTAGACGCGACACTTGCTCTCAATTTTTGTTGAACCATGGTTGAACAGACTTTGACTTAGTTAATTCATGAAATGAACTTATTGCGAGTGACAGCAAACCTGATACGACTTGTGGTACTGGGATTTTTACCCTACTTTCAATAGGCGAGATTTTTAGAAGCAACACTTGCTCTCAATTTATGTTGAACCATGGTTGAACAGATTTTAACTTGATCAATTCATGAAATGTATTTGTTGCAAGTGATAGCAAACCTAATGCGACTTGTAGAACTGGGATTTTTCGCTACAGTCAGTAGGCGAGATTTTTAGAGACGAAAGTTTGCTAGAAGGCAACAAAAACCTTGAAAGACAAAAAATCCGTCACAACCAGTGCTATTCCTTAAAGAGAATAAGAAAAATTGCGTGAAAATACATAGAATCTGCTTCCAATTCAGAAAAACCATTCGTAGCAGCTACACAAAATCTCAGCCATCAAACGTGGACTGTGATTCCAAGAATTGCATTTATCGAAACCAAAAAGTCGTTAAAAGTCTGCATTGGCGAAACCAAAAAGTCGTTAAAAGTCTGCATTGGCGAATAATAACTGAAATATTTTCAATTTTCGCTGGAAAAGAGGATGACATCATGATTCGATCCGATCCAATAGTACTTCATCAACTGAGAATATGAACAAATAATAAAACCCTTGCATCTCAATCAGTATTGTTATCAGGAAATCATACTTAGTGTTTGAATCAAAATGGATACTTTTTTCTCCACTGAAACGAATGAGTAAATGCGCGTTTTCCATTAAGAGAAAAAATTATCATTTTTATTGTATATGATGCTCTCATACACCAAAACTCTTTATATACCATCGATACCCTGGTAAAAATGTGTTTGTGAATGACAGGAGTTTCCAAATCATCGATATGTACATTAAAGAATTGGAGAAATGAAGAAGCTGCAAAATCACCAAAACCATCTTTAGGAAGAAAAACTGTAAGTACCTGATGATGGAAACTTCAAACTTTCAATTAGAAGAACAGTGAATTTATTTTATTTTACTGAAAAAATAGTGATCCTCGAGCTTCGGGAGCCCTGAAAAAAGACCAAGAGACTTAAATTTCAGCTGAGAAAAACATAACAGAAAATCGTTCCCAATCGAAAATGGAGAAAGATAGCGATTGATCATTACTTACATTGGAAGTATAATGGTTTTGTTAAGGGCGGTTTATTGATGTTTGAGTCAAAGCATTCTGGTGATAGCATGAAGACATGAACAACGTTTTGCAATTATAATGGGGTCTCAATACTTTTCACTAGTGTGATACTGTATTTTTTCTCTTTTTGACAAAACCATCTAGACTGTCACATAATTTTTCATCTTGAAGGGATCAAGAAGCTGATTTTTTAAAGCATTATAAAAATAATAATTTATCAACATGTTTTTCAATCTTCCAGTCCAGTAAAAAATTGTTGATTTCTTACACAAAAAAAAAGGATTCATTTCTAATTGACATTGCAAGTTCAAATACAATAATTATTCTTTTCAGGTAGAAGATTTGGACATGCGAATCGGAGTTCATTCAGGTTCGGTCTTGTGTGGAGTACTGGGTTTGAGGAAATGGCAGTTTGACATATGGTCATCTGATGTCCGGCTAGCAAATCATATGGAGTCTGGGGGACAACCAGGGTAATATAATTTATAGTAAACAATGGGCTAAAAAGTCCCAGACCCTAAGAAACAAAACGTATTTTTTTTGTTCAAAATTGGCTTTATTCATGAACGTGACCTCCATCAAGAGCCACATAATCATTCTAGCGCCTCTCCAACATTTCATTACCACTTTTGTAGAACGATATATCTTTTGCCTCAAAATAGGCATCAGTTTCAGCAATAACCTCTTCATTCGAGCAAAACTTTTTACCGATGACCATTTTTGAAGGTCTGCGAACAGCCAGTAGTCGCTGGGAGCCAAATCTGGCGAATACGGTGGATGTGGGAGTAATTCGAAGTTCAATTCATTTTGTTTTGTCATTGTTTTGATTGACTCGTGATATGGTGTGTTGTCTTGATGAAACAAAATGTTTTCTTTGCCGTATGCGGTCGTTTTCTTGCAATTTCGATATTCAAACGCTCTAATAACGCTATATAATATTCACTGTTGATGATATGTCCCTTCTCAAGATAGTCGAAGAATATTACATCACGCACATCACAAAAACCTTTCCAGCCGATTGTTGTGCTTTTGGGCACTTTAAACCAGGTGCACCAGTTGTTCCCCTTGATCGATCCATGTTTCATCCATTATCACTTATCGATGTAAAAATGCCGGTTTGTTATTTTTAAACATGGCCGAACACAGCTCAAAATCATCAAGACGTTCTTGTTTTTGGTCAACAGTGGGCTCACACGGCACCTACTTTGCACAGAGCTTTCTCATATGCAAATACTCGTGCAGTATGAAGCCGACACGATTTCTTTATATCTTTACAATGTTAACTAACTGACGCATGAGGAAGGGAAAAACTACCAGAGTGGTTCAAACAGAAATGGCTGGTATGTCAATCACCACCAGGGCTAGTACCACCAAGATTTATCCGAAGACTTGGTAGATAATTATCCTGAGGTGGGTTAAAGGGCACGACAGGAGTAAAGGTAATCGCATTGCCGACTCTTCAGCCAAGGAAGCAGCTGGAATAAGAATTTCAGGACCCCTTAAGAGATGGGATGGAATCAAAGGATGCAGTCTTGCCAGGATCCCTCTGGGCAGTGGACACACCTTAGCAGGATGTGTGAACAGGAAGATAAAACTGTCAGGCATGTCCTATGCGAATGTCCGAAGTTATCGATAATGAGAGAGTTTGTGTTAGGCGAGTCTTGGCCTGCACCTGCCGATATAAAGGAGATGTCTCCTAGTGATCTGTCCACCTTTTTGAAAAGGACAGGATGGACGATGACTTAGGAGGGCAACTCTTCGGGAGGATGTACAATGGGTCACATGTAGCCTAAGTGTTGTGGACCTACACTCACCCTCCCTACTCTACAGACAAACATACAGAACTCACGCAACTTCACTTTTCGGTCATTAAAAGCGATTTTGCGGATTTCTTTGTTTTCTGGTGTTACTGCCTCATTTGGAAGTCCACTGCGTTTTGTATCATCGGTGTCTATACGACCACGTTTGAAGTCATAAAACAAACGTTCAATTATTGTTTCTGATGGAGTGGAGTCCTTATAACAGTTTACAAGCTATTGCTTCGCTAGAACGGTATTCTATCAAGGAGCAGTCTACGGGTAGCGGAGATATTGTTGAATTTTTACTCATACAACTCTGGCAAGGATAACCGTACTGGCTGAATAGCCAGTTTGCCACGGTTTTAAGCCGTCGGATCAAAGGACTGTTACTCGTAGTCACGAAAATAGTGTAGGGTATCGCGTACCTTTGCCCGTTGCATGCGTCGATATTTCGTTTTCTTTCGACTGTTTTTTTTGTATATCCGAGTCTTTTAGTCTCATCAACAAGAACATAAATAATTATCTGACTCAAACACGTCACTTCACAAAAGAGGTACATCAGTTGAAAATGCCTATCCCAACATCGAATCTCATTAAGGACGGTATTATCTACAATAGAATAAAAGTATTTCATAAACCTGCATCAACATCAACAGAATCTGAAATTTTTTTGCGATAAACACATTACAAGAATTTTTTGATATTTCTACTCTGTGAACGTAATGTATTTTTGTTCTGAAATGTCGAATATTCTCCTAATAGACTTAGGTTAGGTTAGGTTAGTTAGGTTGCTGGGTCTATTCGACCCACCACCGCAACCCAGAAGGGTTTATTGTGGCTCACACCTATTCACACTCGACAAAATAACCCCCAGCTTCTTAACGAAGCAGATTAGTTTGTATGGTGAGTGGTCTTTCAGGTCACATGGTAAGAGTACGGTTCTACCGAACTCTAAAAATCTGATTCGGTCCCCAGCGGGGCAGGCTCTACTGTTTCATCATTTTCCAAACAGAGGCTACATACACTGTCTTCCGCCAGTCCGAGTCTCTGCATATGATGATTCAAATGACAGTGACCTGTGAGAAGGCCTGTTAGACATCGTAGTTCATCCCTACTGTAGTCCAAGGGGTGAATAAACGTCTTGTAGTGAGCCAATCCTGGAAGATTCTGTCAGAAGTCCATGAATCTTCTTGCCATCCAGATGTTCAATCTTTGTTTGGTAAAGCCTAAAACGATGCTAATGACATGTTATGGTCCTATGAAGCTGCTTGCAGAACCCTCCTTTGCAAGGGAGTCAGCAGCCTCATTGCCTTCCAGGCCAGTATGGCCAGGAATTGAGAATTTAGACCAGAGACAATCTGTTAATCTTCCTTTCGAGGAGAGTCGTTTTTGGCAATTTGCTACCAATTTAGATGTTGCTCGATAGGAGCCAAGAGCTTCCAACGCCGTTTGAAATACAGTCGCATAGGTTCCTAGGCAGGTTGATTTCTCTGTCCTGGGTCTGCGACTGAAAACACCTGCACTAGGATCCAGTTCTCTCTACTCGGGAACAGTCTGTTGCACTCTGCATTAAATTGATTTGTGCAATTGGCAATGTGCACAAGTCAATATGCGGTCCATCTAGCCCCTTTCTCCAGAAAAATGTAGAGAGGAGGTAGATCTAAAAGGATCTCCATGGCAGCTGACGGTGTGATACTGATTGCTGACAAGCCTGTCTCTGTTAGCCAGAGAGCTTCGCCCGGGCCATTTTCTGTAAAGCCTTCGGCCACCAGGCAATTGCAGTGATCATTGGTCTGATATATAGCTGAAACAAAGGAATTCAACTTTCAGAAACATAAAAAGCAGCAGGCTTCTTTCTTGTTGTTGTCTCAATTCTAAGTTCAGCCTCATGAGGCAACGTTGCATAAATCTTTTTTCGTTCCAGGCAAGTCCACATATCCGAAGCCACCTACCAGTGTTTGAATGGCGCCTATGAAGTGGAACCAGGAAACGGCCAAGAAAGAGACGCTTATCTGAGAGAACATGACGTTACTACTTACTTGATAAAACAAGTCGAACCGCTGAGAACCAGGAGGCGACTAGCATCAAGACCAAGGTAAAAAATAATACTCTAAAAGCGTAACCCAACTTTTCGTTACATTTTCAACATCGAAGTGTCTGGAGTAATCGATGTCTTGCCAGTTATTGTGAACTACATTCACGAAAAAGTTTTCCGTTCCCAATTTACACAAGATACAATTGATGATAAAGTTGAATAGGAAAAGAAAAAAGTACCAGTTTCTCATGATAGTTCGAAAATATGATATTTGGGATTGCCGAAATTATTTTTGTAACTATATTGGCACAAATACCTCTATACTTACGCGAAGTTTGAATGACACCCATCATTCAATTTGTTCACAGTACTCATTTTGTTAATTAACCTCAAACATGTTTTGCGATTTTTTCAATGGATAAAAATATTCAACAAAGAATTTGTCTCAAATTTTGCATTACAAATGGAATTTTGCGCGATGAAGGCCTGAAAGTGTTACAGAAGACTCACGGTGAATTGAGTTCATTAACACCACATGCGTATGAGTGGTACAGTGCATTCAAAAGCGGTCAAGATGTAGTAAAAAATTTGCATCGCTTTGGTCGATCATCAACATCCCCAACTGATTTTACCATCGCTGAAAATAAGGAAATGGTGACTGAAAATCGTCGTTTAACTCTGAGAGCCGCTGAAATTTCTATGTGTCGCGAATTAGTTTCTACCATTTTGAACTATTTCTAAACATGCTTAGACACGCTTTACCGCTGGACTAGTGCAAAAATACCCGAAATAAACACAATCGCATGAAGGTCGCTGGTAACATGTTAGAACAAGTTAATTCCCACCCAAATTTATAAAACTAATTGTAACTAGTTTATAGATTTGATATGCAAAGCAATTAAGCGTCGGAGCTGAGCCGAAACCGAAAAAAAATCATCATAGTCGATTGAAAAATGGAGGTGATGTTAACAGTTTATTTTTTCGACTATCGCGCTTTTGTGCACTCGAAATTTTTGCCAGAAGGTGAGACAGTAAATAAAGAATATTATCTGAGCGTTATGTGTGTTTCAGAGACTAAATTCGTCGATAAAGACCAGATTTGTGGAAATATTTTGCATCATCTCACAAAGCTATCATTGTGGACTAATTTCTGGCCAAAAACTCAACAAATTTTATCGTACATCCACCATATTCCCCTAATATGACTCCGATCGATTTTGTTCTTTTTCCAGAACTCACTTTACCACTTCGAGGCACCCGTTTTTAGTCGATAGAAAACATGAAAGAGAATTAGAATCGTATACTGAAATTGATTTTGAGAAATGTTTTGATGATAGGGTCTGTCGTTGACGTGAGTGTGTTGTTTTGGAAGGGGCCTACCTTATAGGCGATACAAAATATTCGAATTGATAATACATATTTCATTAGACCTAAAGAAAGTATTATTTGATACTGCGAACTATAAAATTCTTCTGAAAATAATGTTAAATATAGTTATACGAGGTTTGGTTCATAATTGGTTTCAAAGTTATTATAGGAATCAATATGTCTATATTGGCGACATAATTAGTTCCCAAAAAAATATAATATTTGGGTACCGCAAGGATCAATACTTAGACCTGGACCTCCGTTCGAACGACAACTCTCAGAAGTCGAAACTTGTGCGAGCTAAGGACTAACGAGGTCTTACCTGTTAACGTGTGATTCCTAAGACGGGTTGGACGATTAGCAGTGAAAATATTTCGTCTGGCCTTGCGTTTCGAACCACCGTTTCACACAGCGGTCGATTGAGTGAATAAAACAAATCACCCACGCCAACCCATCAGGCTACCATCCAATTCTTTGGCTACAGTAAATCTATATGATGAATTACAAATGTTTGCTGATGACACCACGTGAATTTACAATGGATATAGTGTACAAGAAATTAAAATTATTATTTCAAAATATTTGGACCAAAATCTCTATGGCTTCAGAAATCTTCATATATGTCTATATCAATTGAGCCAAAAGATGCAATTAAATTCAGTTATGAAAATAATCAAAACTCTCCTAGGGCTGAATTTCTTGGTCTGATTCTAGTTGAAATTGTATCATGGAGACAACTTATTGGAACAGTAAGAAAGAAATAACTTCCATAATTGGAATTTTATTCAAAATAAGAAATGTTGTACCCCTGAAATACCTCAAATTAATTCATTTCTCATTAGTATATTCCAAAATTCAGTATCTAATGTTAGTATGGAGAATGGCAACAAATTCCTTATTGAAACCAATCGAAAAACTCCAGAACAATATTATAAGGAGTGTATTCAAGTTAAATTACAAGGAGCCTGCAGTCAACTTTTATAAAGTATAAAAAAAAATACCTTCATTCATTTGGTCAGGAATGAGCTCAACAATTCAAATCTGACTTACAAACCAATTGACAAAATATTCAGGCAATCTGAAATTAATAAAAATGAAAACTCGATTTATTATGAAGGTATCAAGTTTTACACTGAACTTCCAAATACAAAAAATATAATTCCGAATTAATTCCGAAATAATAATTTTTGTTCTCTACAATAATTATTCTCACTTCAGAATATCAACAAGCAATCAAATCTAGTAATGTTGTTGATTCTATCTCATACACTTTAGACTTCAAATGACCCCATAGAAAAAAATCTACAGGGGTGAGATCCGGAGACAGGGGAAATGAAAATTTCTATGTTTTTTACCACTTTTATTTGTAACTAATGTTACTGCAGTTTCGTCCTATAAGGATATTTTCAAACTTATACATACTTTAATGTATAAGTCTGAAAATGTTATAATACGAAACTGCAGTAACGTTAGTTACAAATAAAAGTGATAAAAAACATAGAAAGTTTCAATTCTCTTTTCTTCATTATGATTTCCTACCACGTACTAACGGCTACATCTATCAAGATATCAAAGTACTTCGGGTGTTATTGATGAAATTCTAACCTCCTCCTAAACCCATTTCATTTCCAGATTATCAACCTCAATAATTTCATTTCACACCTTTCTTCCACAACTCATTTCCCAAACGCTTAGAGCTATACGAAAGGGTTTTGGACCTTAGTCACAGATGTGCTCGTAGAGAACTTTCGTTACGGGCACAAAACGGATTGCTCTTGAATTCAAATCGGGGATTTATCACGATCCCTCAAGGATATTTCGTTTCACGAATCTGAAACTGTGCTGTGATCACCTTTCAATATGGGTTCGTTATTTCATTTAGATCAGTTGTCTCTGAATATGAGAAAACCTACGATCTCCTCTGCTGAATTATATTGAAGTATTTGGCCCCATTCAATTTTCAAAAGGGTTTATTAACACAGAGAAGCTGAATTATAGTATACTATAAAACAAGGCTGCTCTACCTTTTTGACAGTCGGGCTAAAAAGGTGGATTCAGACTTTACGACGGGCCACTGACAATTCCTATTTCAGTTTCTCTCAGGACATGCGCAGTAGAAACCCAATATTAAGAAATAAAATTAAATGTTTGTTTATTAGGTAATATTATGAACAAGCAGAGAGTATCTTAAGCTAAAATTTAGCAGCTAAATAAAGAAAGAAAATTGAACTCAAGTATGTATCTTCTCAAATCTAAATCTAGGCTAAGTCGCTGTTGCAATCAATGTGATTTCTGTCATTGTTTGTCTTTTAATAATTTACTTAGGCGACAAATCCGATGTTGATAGTAACAACAAGTCACAAACATGTTGCTCAGTTAAGGACGAACGGTATTTATTTTTTACATAATTAAGGTCTGAAAATACCTATTCACACACATATGTTGATCCAAAACTAGTTAAAAACTGTAAAGCCAGGTCAGTTATTGCTGTAAATTCTGCTTTTGGTACCAATTTCCAGAAATCTGCAAAATCTTCTGAAGAATTTTGTGCTTTCGAAGACAATTTGTTGGCAAAAAGGTTTTTTAACGAATCGTGATTTTGCAGTTCAACGAGTTCCAACTGAATATTGGCAGGATTTATGAAAATTTGTATAGTTTTTTTTTTTCAAATCTTGAAATCTCTTCTCAAACGACTGTGATAAGCATCGAATTCTAGATTGGTATTTAGAATAATTAACGGAAGCAGTATTGAGCTCATCTTTCAAATGTTTTAGTATGGGAAAAAGGTCAAAATTTTCTGTAGCTAAATTAATTGAAATGAGATTTAATTTTGCTTTGAATCCGCTAATCAAATCAAACATAGTCGGAAGTGAACAATCTTTACCTTGTACCGCGTAGGTACTACGTTCCTTCGCGGCAGGCAATTTGGCGGAATTTTTCAATTTGGAGCGTATTTCAAAACTTACTTCCGCGGGCCATTTAAAATTCTTTTGTGGGCCACATTGTGGCCCTCGGGCCTGGGGTTGAGCACCCTTGCTATAAAACAAACATCCAGTTGAGCCTACAAGGGAAAGTTCCAGGTTTAATAAAAAAGTAAGGTTAATTTTCATTTTTCTCAATAAATATTCATATATTTATCACCTTTTATTTTGAACCCTTCAAAGTAGCCCCCCTCAGATATAATACACTTGTACCAGCTTTTTTCCGATCCTCGACGTAGTTCTGATATGCACTTGGCCTAAGATGAAAAACAGAGGTTGCATCTTTTGATGCAATCAACCTTTTCCGTTTCGGTAAATGTTCACACTTATTTATTGTATCATTATTATTATCAATTTTTGGTATATCCTTAAGCACTCTCGGCGATTCGGTTTTTATATCCCCAATCGTCGCAAAAACGCCGTCCTTTCATGGGTCTCTTTACTCTTGGGAACAGGAAGAAGTTGCAGGGGCCAAATCTGGTGAATGAGGTGGCTGAAGCATGATTACGGCAAAAGCCGTGAATTGTTTTTCCACAATACTGGACGTTTTTTTCGTATCGCTTATCGCACGCGGTACATGACTTCAAGATAATACTCCTTATCGAAGAAAACACTAAGCAAAACTTTGACATTTGATCGAATTTGGCGTCCTTTTTTTGGTCTTCGCTCTCCTAGGCTCTTCCTTTGGAACGATTGGACTTTGGTGTCGATGTCGAAACTAGTTATAACCTGGGTCACTCTTCACATCATTCAACAATTCCTAAGCGATGCTTATGCGACGGTTTTTTTGGTAAAAATTCAGCAATTTCAAGATGAACTTCGCTGCCAAACGCTTCATGGCCAAAATATAAAAAAAATAGCATGGCATGAGCCATCCGATATGTCAACATCCTCAGCAACTTCCCTTATAATGATTCGCCGATTCTCCATTACAATTCTCTTCACTTTCTCCACATTTTCATCGGTTGTTGCATCGTCATTCACATCTGTTGATATTCTGTGGTCGGTAGCCAGGCGGTTCGACGTGGGTGCTTTGTTCACTCACTCGAATTGACTGCCGTGTTGGTCGGTGGTTCAAGCCCTAGTCTGAACGATCAATGTTCACTTGCTATCGTCCAACCCGTGTTAGGAATCACACGTTAAAAGGTAAGACCTCATTAATCTTGGGTTGTCGTTCGTAGGGGTGCGACAGCTGGTTAACGGAAAAACAGATTTTAAACAGACAGAAAAGCTTGTACCACTTGTAGATATTTTTCTGACTCAGAGTACAATCACCATATGCCACTAACCAAATTTCAAGTGTTTGTGACTAGCTACTTAACTCCATTTCATACACAAAATTTGATGCAGATTTTTTGAATAATTTTTTCAATGTAATATTTGGAATAAGTTTATTTCATCAGTTCGGACTATATTGTCCAATATAACATAAATTGATTTGAAATCCCTGAAAAAAAAAGTTAAAAAGAACAACCGATAATAACAATTCTATTAAACAAAAAACTGAAATTACAAAGAAATAACACAAAAGCAACAATAAAAAAATAAAAATTGAAGTGTTAATGAAAGCTGAAAATTAAAAAATATTATTAACAACACAAAAAAAATGAAAAAAATGAAAAAAGTGAAAAATGAAAATTTAAAAGATTCCAAACCAAGTTAAGTCCATAAGTTTGTACTGCTAAAATGGTAAATTATCCCAATATTTTTTTTCTAAAATATGAATACATTCATAATTACACAATATTTGTCTTTTCATGGTACTATGTATTCAAAGAGATTCATCTGCTAGCAAAAATGTCTGGAGTTCGATATATTCATCCAAAGTAATACCACAATATCCCAAAATTTTATCGACGAATTTCCATTTTTCAATAAAAACTTTGTTATTTAACAATACCATGAGAGTGAACAATATGATAAAACCACGAATCCGCAGGACGAGTGGTTTTTTCTATCACTGGTTGCTGGATTGTCCAAAAATAACAATTCTTATCGATTTCACCGAAATTGCTACAATCCAAAATAATGTTTCGATTCTCTTTCCAGATCGAGAATTTTGGTAGTTATTTTTGAAAAAACTAAAATTGTCGAATTTCACTTTCTCTGGCTCTACCGCCTGTATTTCGTATGGTATAAAAAAGGCAGACGAACTTTCAAAACTGTTTCATATTTGTTATAATCTGATATAAACCAATTTGCAATGTGACGTTCCGTCCATTAGATTTCATTTATAACTTTTTTGTTAAATACGGACCTCTTGTTATTTTCATCGATTTTTGTATCCACTGTAATAACAAATTTGACTTTTCATTTTCATATGTACTTTCTAATTGAAAATTTCATCAATATTTGTTTCGAGTATAATCGATAAGTTTATTTATACTTAGGAAGTGAGTTTGTCATCAAAAGATAGTGGCATATTGATATTATCAATTGCTTTTCAAGAAATATATATACATTTCTTTAATGCCCCCCCTTTTATTTTTTGAACGGGTCAACTCAAAAAATTGAAATTTGTGATAATGAAATTAATGCATGAATACTTTATTTTGAAGTGAAATTAACAGATGACACTTTCAAGATGGCGACTGGGCTCCATATTCAGATACAGTTCCCCTGTTAAATTTTCATCAATAAATAGAGGTCCTACAATATGGTTTCCCAATATTCCTGCCAAAACGTCAATTTTTCCTGGATATTGGGTATGTTTTTTCAGGAAAACGTGAGGGTTGGTGTCACTCCAATAACAACAATTTTGTCTGTGAACATTGCCGTTGAAAAAAATGTACATTTGTCACTAAAACAAATATTATGGAGATAGGTAGGATGCCTTGCCATGGTTTTCGTCATGATTTCGTAGAATTCTGTTCTTCGATCAGGGTCATCTTCAGTTAATTTTACCATTTTAATTTTGTATGGATGTCCTATTCCTCTTCAAAAGTCTGCACACAGTAGAAGGAGACACCTCACAAACATTCGCGACGGAATAAGTAGACTTTTCAGGATTTACTACCATCTCACCAATTATTTGCACTTGCTGTTCTTCGGGATTGGACGGATGACATGGAGGCTTTTTGTTATGTACACAAGTTCCCTCAAATATTTTCTACAAATAGGACGATTTGGAAAACGTTCATTGAAAATCCTTTCGGTCACATGAAAGTTACGCGCCGCACCGTAAATAAAAATCGCTTCAAATTTTCCTTCCAATGGACAGAAATTGACCATTTTCGAGATTGTTGACGTTATACCTTTCTTCTGGTAAAACCGAAAACTAAATGAGAGTATTCTAACTGAACAATGATGTTCATTGTCGTACTGATATTTTTTGACGTTTTTATAAACAAAAAATAACTTAAATTTCACTAATTCGGACTTCCATTGTCTACTATATAAAATGATTTGAAATCCCTGAAACAACTAAAAAAGAAGAATTAAAAATGAGATAGCTGAAAATAATAATTATATTAACCAAAATAAACCTGAAATGAAATAATAGTCAAATAAAATACAAGTGAAAATAGAACAATTGAATAAATAAAAATAAAATTATTATTTTCAGCTATCTCATTTTTAATTCTTCTTTTTTAGTTGTTTCAGGGATTTCAAATCATTTTATATAGTAGACAATGGAAGTCCGAACTAGTGAAATTCATCATGAAACATTGTCAATCACCTTCAAACAAACGTTAAAAAATAACTTAACAAACCTTATCGGGTTGTTGGAATTGCCACATGGCAGATAAAAAGGAATATTTCTGAAAACATCTATGTATTTGTCTTCAGGAAATTATTAAATGTTCCCCCATTATGTAGTAGGTTAAGATATTGACTGCATATTCTAGTATTGTGAAGTGTTCGTCAAGAGCTTCATAACGATGTGTCACAAAACCCCCTTTCCATTTAATTTTTTTTTCCAGATGGCGCCCAGCCGCCATCTTGAAAGTTTCATCTGTCAATTTCACTTCAAAATAAAGTATTCATGCATTGATTTCATTATCCCAAATTTCAATTTTTTGAGTTGATCCGTTCAAAAAATAAAAGGGGGGGACATTAAAGAAATGCATTGTATAAGATGATTTATCAAAATCCAATGTTATTGTATGTGACTGAAAACACATCTATATAGATAGATAATTTTGAACATATTCATGTATATCAACGTTTTTACAGATATATAATAAGTTTGTATCATCAGAATGAAGTAAATGAAAAAAGAGATTATTGTATTCGTTTGAAAACGTTCTTGTATTTGTATATAACATTAGTTACAAATACCAGTGATAAAAAAAATAATAAGTTTCAATTCCTATTTTTCAATTGCGATTTGACAATCTTTACAATTTTGGAAAAAAAATTCGCCCGCCTGCCGCTTTTTACTTCATTTTTTGGTCTTTTTTCAGTATCTTCATCAAAAACGCCGTAAGTCGTTTGAATGTGAAAGTGTCAAAAAATTAACCTAATCCATTCTTTGAGAGCAGTCTCATAAAGGAATTATTTTCTGGCGTTTTATCAGCACTCGTGGCTGACTCAAGTAATAAAAGATACGAATGTCGACAATAACTAGTTGCTAAAAAATGAAAGAATTAATTGTTCAAACCACAGAACAAACACGTTTACACCTGTCGAATTGATTAGATCTAGAAGTGTACGAACCGACACAATTCATCAATGCTAACGTTTGACTGCTCTTTTTAAGCATATTCTCCAACAAATTATGGCCAGAAGAAGATCTCATTAGAAGCGGTATGAGTACTCCTAAAACTCCATCAACTCCGGCGTCACCTCCAGTACCCCCATCCAGCGAAAGAAGTGACAGTGGCATACAAAACAGCGGCATAGATGATGAAAATACCACTGACTGGATTCCAGAGATTCCGTTTGAAAATGTAAGTAACTTTTTAATTGACAGGTAGAATTAGAGCTTCTGGCGTGACATGAATATATTGAAAATCACTTTTTCCATACCAAAACATCATTAAGAGGTAATAGCTAAGTTAGCGCTCTTGTATACACAATGGGGGTTAATAAATCAATTACTGATATTAGTTATTATATTCTTATTCCTAATTTTGATGTTAATGACTACCCGTAACATACCTAATACCTACTATCTGAAATTATTACTGAACAGATGAACGTTGGGCCATTTGAAATACAAATTTTATCGCTGTTCATATACCCCATTCCGCATTTTCGATTTTTAAACTTTCATAGGCATCTAAATGTCATGTACGTACCTATTGGTTTCATCAATTTCATCGATTTCATCTCATTTATCGTCATTCTCTGAGCGACACTATACTTCTCTGGTCTACGAAACCGCATATGTGTAACATATGAAACACGTTATTATAGTTCGCTTAGCTTAACATACTTTTTGTCTCTAACTTCATAGCTCATTTTGTTAACCCTAGACTTTTTCTTTCCGGCCATCCTGACTTTCCCCAACACAAGTGTCAAGCAGTTAAAAGCTACTTTTATGTTCAATTTTTCCAAAATCCGGACCAATATTGTTGTGTATTTAGGTTCAAAACTATCATCTTTGAGTCTTCATCATTACGAAAAGTCGTTACTCTTCAAATTTTTGTTTCCTAAATAACTTATCGAGTGTCTGCTGGACTGAAGAGAAGTTGAACTATTGTTAGTATAACTCTCTCTCTTTCTCGCGCTCTCTCTTTTTGTCTGAAGAGAAGTTTTACAAACTATGTGAGCTGTCTCCAGAATCAAAAATTCTGTATACAGCAATATTGGTGATCTTATCGGAAAATGAGATACGTTTCTCACGTGAAAAATAACACATAAGTCACGCTGAATGTATTCTCAATTCAAAGTTAATGTTATTCAATGAAAGGCCTTTTCTCAAACTGGTTTCAAGCACTGTTGATGGAGCTAACTTTTCCTTGTGACTGAAGTTACCAGTTATATATCAAGTAAAATAAACATGTTTTGCAGATTGGGACATTATATTACAATATAAACATACATAAATACATACATACATGTGTTTCAATAACAACAGTGTTCTTTTTTTTTGATCACATATTTTTTATCTATACTAAAACCAATAATGATTGAGAGTAGAAGTAAGCCCAGTTGACAGCAAATCGGGGGCGTGCTTATTAATTTTTGAGAGGGTTAAGAATGAAAGAAAAATTTTTAGTACATTAGTAATTCTTAGTAATTAGTTAAAATATTCATAAACATTTTTTATTTATTTCATTAAAACTTTGCAATATCGTAATTTACCTAATCGTTGTAGTCATTAGGTGGGCCTTATGAAAACGGAGTAATAATCGTGGTAATTATAGTAGGTACCAAATAAATTAACAATATTAATAAAAAACACAATATATATATATTCATATATATATATATATATATATATATATATATATATA